TTTTTTTTTTTTGAAAAAGCTTCCTGGATGGGACGCAAAACAGCTTAAAACCTGGAAACAAAATCCAGCGGATTGTTTTATTTTTTTCTTTATCTTTTTTGGAATGACTATGACCTGGATGACTGAGAATCTTCACCAGCACCATGCTATATCACACACCTGGGAAATCCTCTTTATTTCATCAACAACACTCTGTCTGCAACTCCAAAAGAAGCCCTAATAACATGTAGACACAGTGGGGAGTAAAAAAAAACAAAACATTTGCATTAAGTACCACGGGTTGGTGACACACCTTCCTCCTTATCCTAAATATAAGATTAGATAACAAAGATTTATATGCCTATAAAAATATATTAAGTATTTAAAAAGTGAAGATTATAGAGTTTTAGGTTTCTTTTAAAAATCCTCCTGATTTTTTATCCTCTTCTTTCCTCAAGTTTGTGATATTGGTGAAATGTGTCTGACCAGTCCTGTAAAGAAGCTGCTTCTGACGACACAAAGCTGTGTATTATCAGATTAAAAGTTATTTTTACCATGGATATAATCACAAGGTGCAGAAATGAAACCACAGCTAGCACAGAACTGAAGCAGTATTTACATTTCTAAATATCTCTTAACTAATCAAAAAGTAATCCCTCCTATCCCAGAACATAGACTGTAATACTACAAATCCTGAGACCAATATCCAGAGGACTAACAAGACCAATATGATCATATTTTTAATGAAAAATGTCATTAAATAGAATAATGCCATAATTCCAAGAGGGTGATTTGATCCTCTCATCTTTTCATAGCAAATTTATTATTGTTATTTAGATCGTTTTTGTTTTATTTTTTTTTAAGTTTGTCACAGTCATACCCACAACAAAAAACGACTAGCTTAAGATTAACAGACAAAACAGGTTTTGCATATTTGTGAAATTTCTGTTAAAATTTGCAAAACATTCAGGAGTGTTTAATGACTTAAAACAACAACCAAAAGAACACTCCGTTTTTAATGAAGTAAAACTCTTCAATCCTCCAATTGGAAAACTACTGCGGTGAATATTATGTTTCTTCAGGCCTCAAGTTATTTAACCTTGATTGTATTAGTGGCCTTTCACAGCCACATACTAAAAAAAAAAGAAAACATGTTTGTGGGAAAGACAAAGCTTCAAAAAAAAAAAAAAAAAAAAAAAAAAAAAAGCAAATCCAGATTTTGCTATAGTTAAATAATCATATACAAAAAAAATCAGACTAATCTCCTACCTTCAACAGCCATTTGTGCTAATATTTAAGGTGAGGTAAACTCCGAGAATGACACACAATTTGATCTACGGTAACTAATTTCAATGCCATATATTAAAACCCTTTTTATTAATTTTTGTTTCCATTAACTAGTAAATTATTACCAGCTGAAACAGATTCCTGTGTGTTATGCAAAACATTCAGGAGTGTTTAATGTGTTAAAACAACCCAAAAAAACAACAACAAAAAAACCCGTATTTAATGAAGCAAAACTCTGCAAGCCTCCAATTGGAAAACTACTGCAATGAATATTATGTTTCATCAGGCCCCAAGTTATTTAACCTTGATAGTATTAGTGGCCTTTCACAACCACACAAAAAAACATTTTTGTGGGAAAGACAAAGGTTAAAAAATATATTTTTTTTATAGAATAATACAAAACAATGGATCAGGATCACCATTTTCAGAGATTACTTTACAGGGGGGGAAAAAATCTACTTAAAGTGTTTAATAAAAAGTGGAACTTATTTTATTTCTACAGGAAAAGGGAAGTGATCACCCTGAGTAACTGGTCTTTTGACAATCCCTATAAATATTAAAAGGTAATGCCCCTTCAGATATCATATCCAGAATATACTAGTTCTGCACATATAAAGTCAAATGTGTTTAGCTGTTTTTTCATTTAAAATCATAAATTACAAATATTACTAAAATATTTAAGGTAACCTACATGAATAGATTTTACTAACAAGTTCTAATATTTCTTATAAACACCTAAAAACCAAGTTAGTTTTAGGAGTATATGAAAGGTTTGCCACGAAGGCTGAACGTAAGAAGAAATAAAGTTACAGGCGGAAGCAATAAATGTATGTATTTAAGTCACGCCTAGAAACGACTGAAGATTTACCCTGGAAATTAAACCCTATCTAAACGGTCTGAGGACTAAAACATTTAAGTCATACCATAATATCTAAAATTAAAAAGCCCGATAACTAGCCACCAAGTCAAATAACAAATTTACTATGGTTATAACGTACCTTTAAATTAATATTGGACAAGAAAGGTCGAGTATTTAGTAACCTCTCTTTCCGCAGTAATAAAAAACGTTACAAACGCATCTATCTTAGAAAATTACATTGTGCTTGTTTGTAAATTACACCATCGGTGCATTAGGATTAGGAGTACAAACGGACATAAACTAAACACAAATGAGCCAAAAATAAATTAGGAACGTAAATGAAAGACCGTTCAGAGAATCTAATGTGCCATTTGTTGAAAAACACGCTTTCAGGTGATCTGAAGTAACACTTTCAGTTACGTTAGCCATCTAAAGATATCAATTACGGTAGTAGCCATACAGGCTAACGACTTTAGCCACCCGCTAATGTTATGCAAGTTAGCTGACTAATGTTGACAATTTTGAAACTCCGTCGTTTTAAACGGAACCCATAATGTCAGCTACACAATTTAGTACCATTAGACATTGTAGGCTTTTGTAAACATGAATGTCTGGGTTAAATAAAAAGATAAAAGTTTTGCAAAGGTTTTTAAATGGACTCTGTTTCAACTGAAGCGACGTTAGCCGCTATTAGCAGCAGCTAGCAGTGTCACGATAGGCCGTTTAAGTCATGTCAAGCTAACCGTTAACTTAGAGTTAGCCACAACCCTCCACACCAAGACTACAAACGTATAAAGTGTTGTCAAAGTTGTCACGTTCTTCATGAGTAGGATTTGCAAGAATTGTCAGATTTCGCCTAGAGTACGATTCCTGGATCAGGTCAGAGTCCTGTAATAACCCTCACCTCTTTGGGTACGAACTGGTTCTCCTCGCTAGGCACCATTTCCATTTGTACGACAGTTTAGACAATCATCTATCCAGACAGGGATGTCATCGAAAAAACTTTGTAGTGGTAGACACAAACATGGTGTGTGTCCAGTTTGCGGTGATGTGAATGCTTGAACACCCAAATAAAACTTGGCGAAAAGTTGCAGGCTTATTAAAGTGATCGCAACATTCTCTGTTATACTACACAAGCACGGTGCCCTGTAATAAATGGAGAAAAATGGCCGACCGGTGTTTTTACTCCGCGAGACTTCACTCGAGGAGCTTTGGCGTCACATTCCATCCAGACTGGCGTATGAGGACAGATGACGTCGGTAAATGCGTACAAGTGTTTTTTTTTTTTTTTTTTGTCTGTTTGTGTGTTTTTTTTGTTTTCTTGTATGTATTTTGAGTAAAGCACAAGCAAAAGATAAACGCTAACGCTTCACTCTATGCTTTCTTATATTGCTGGTTATTTTTAGCAAACAAATCATATCAGAGTTAAGTTTTCACATACTTTTAAAAAGAAAAACAAATACCATAAAATGGCTCATTATAGCAACAGTAATATGAAATACCTTCAAATTAGTTATAGTCTAAAAAATGATAATGCGCTGACAGCTCAGATTATACTGATACAATAGAAAGCATAGATTTTACACAATGGATGACAAAGTTGTTTCCAGGAAAAAAAAAAAAAAAAAAAAAAGGGAATTTCAGATGTTTTATATAGTAGGTTTCCTTCTGGGGGAATCGAAATATTTTCTCTAAACATTTGAACCAGGGAAACGGTCCATTTGGATCTAAATACCCCAAATTCCTTCCATTTAGAATTACAATTCCATTTATGATGTTTACAGCAGTCTACTCCAATTACTTGACTTGAATGCTAGGAGACATCAGAATTATATATGTATATATATATATATATATATATATATATATATATATATATATATATATATATATATATATATATATATATATATATATATATATATATGTATATACTGGATGAACTTATTAATCCAGTTTTACATGTTTACATGTTCCACTCTATAAAGCCTCAAACTGAATGCTATTTCTGATATTTTGAATTGGAAAAAGCTTCCTGGATGGGAAGCGAAACATCTTCTAACTTTGAAATTTATTTCAAAGTTAGAAGTCCAGTGGATTGTTTTTTTCACTTTTTTTTTGGAATGATTAATCCAGATGTGCCTGACCTCAGTAACCATGGCCAGACACACCTGGATTAGTCAATTCATCCAGTAATGAAGACAGAAAAAAAAGAAATGCCTTAAGTTCAGGAAGTAGAGGAGGTGTGCATAAAGCCCATTGAGTTTAGTTTAGGGTTAGGTAAGAAGTTAATCAAATCTAAAGCTAAGCAAAAGCAAGAATAATTTGTTAGATATCCACAATGTTCCTTGTAGATATCTTCTTGTGGATATCAGGAGCTAAGAGATGAAAACACATGAATGGCCTTTGGCCTTTGTTCTCAGAATGAGGATGTTTGGGATATGTTAAATAACACTGTTTTTGAACAGGAGAAATATGGCAAACTAAAAAATACATGTAGAAATATTTTTATTGTATAATGTGATTTCTTTCGATTTATTTGCATTTTTTATCAATACAGAGTATTGATTATTGATTGATTATTGATTATTAAGTATTGGGTTTCAACTATATCTAACTGACATTGAAGCTGCTAAAACAAATTGCTACCAAACAACATTGTTTTTTTTCAGCAAAGCTTCTTTTTTATCCTGTTTTTTAAAGATAACTTGTCTGCGACAGTTGTACATAAAATAGAGATTAACATAGTACAACCAGGCCCCACAAAAAAGTTGTCGACGTTGACGTCCTCACACAATTTGCGATGTCCGTTGTACCTTAGTAACAACAAACAAACCAAGTTTTAGTTTTAGAATAAGTAATAGAAACAATAAGATACGACCATTGGGATTAATTTAATGAATCAGCACAAGAAATATAACATGTCCTGGAAGCTATATTTACACTTTGGCAAATAATAATAATATAATGAGTGTGTAGGATACAAGGGATCTAGCAAGGAGAAGCAAAAAAGATGAAAAATCCCTCTCTCCAAATACTGAGTGAGACTATTTGCCGAAATTTAACGTTCATGAAGGATATCAATATAAAAACATCCCACAAAAAAAGAACATGATAGTTTTAGTTAACCCTCTGCAGAATTAATAATTCTTTATTATATCCAGTCATTATCTCCCCTTTAATTCCAATTCACAAAAGTGTGAGATATATTTTATTACAAAAAAAGCAACAGTTTTTCAGTGATGATTAACTGTTTAGTAAACCTTAGCAGTAGTCATTCAATATTTGTCATCAACTCTTCTTTTCTTTTCTTTCCTATTTGACCCCAGAAGCTATGATGAAATTACCAGCAAGTCCCCTGTCTCCTTCAGGGAATAATATATTCACAGATGTACTTCTTCATGCTGCGGCACACCTCATCATACCACTTTCCTTTAGCAGCCACAGAAAGAGCTACACAGCTCTCCCTTTTTGTTCCTGTCGGCTGCTTCTTAGAGCGATCCCAGTTGAAGAAGCTGATTGGCAGACTGTTGACATCAACATACTGGCCTTCCTTCACTATGTCTGCCACTCCTATCCAGAAGTCCCTGGTTCCTGGGGCACCTCTCTTTGCATAGTCCCTCACCTCGTTGTTCTCCATCATGTCTCGTGGTGTTGCAAGAGTTCCTCCCTGAGCAATGCAATCTTCGTTTGCCTCATGGTAATGTTTGGGCTCCTCTTTGAGAAGATAACACTTCCCATGTGTTTTGATGCCTCGGAGACAAACTGAAAGCAATAAGTTGAATAAATTCCTTTTTGTATCAAGTCGCAATGTAACATTTGGATGGAAACAGCTGCAAAGTCTGTCAAAAAATCTAAAACATTTCCACATTATTTTGTGCCATTTTATATCATTCAGATTAAATATAACTTTTAATTTTTACTAAATCATTCAATGAATTCAATATGGTCTGCTGCCCCCTACTGGTAACATGGAACATCTGGAACTTCAAATATTGTGCTGTAAGTCTTCGTGACAGGAATATTAAATTGGAATTGTCAGGTTATCTCTTCACCTATTCATTTATGACATTTAGGTAGTTTTCCATGCAGCCTTTGATTTTCAGTCATCTCATCTGTCAACAAAGAAGTTTATGTCTGCAGATTACCTGTCTGCAGTGCCTGCACCTCTTTGAGTAAATTCACCTCCTGCCACAACTTCTCAATCTGGGATTTCACATCCTCGTCCTCTGCAGCTGCACATAGAAAACCAAGCCAGCAAAAGAAGTCAAATAAATACAAATGCAGAACACATTGCTACCAAAAGTTGTCCGACATGCATATCTACCTCCAGTCTGGCGAGGCGAAACAGCTTTCTTTGTGCGAGATGGATGGCTGCAGGAGAGCATGGAGAAACTGAGGATAAGGACGACGGGCAGGACCAGATGAGCCATGTCTGAGGCAGTGGGAACCTGGAGCACAGGACTCTGGGGCACAACCTGTGCTTCTTCGAAGGGAAGTAAATATTCTACAGGCAGTTTAATATATAGTGGCCCTCTGTATGCCTGTCTGGGTTCTCTTTCTGCATTGGCTCCAGTGCTGTTTGTTTTTGTCAAAACATCAGGAGGAGGTGAGGGTGGTGTCAAAGAATGATTTCCTTGTGTCTAGTTTATTTTTAGATAAATATTTACTTGGAACAAGGTGCCCCGAGCTGCATTTTCAAAAACTAAACATACATTTATTAAACTGCTACCCTTTTGCATCGTTTCCCATTTATCCCTGTACATATCTTAGTCTTGGAAAGACTTAAGAGTATAGGAACATTTAAAATATTCTGGGGTGAAACCAGGAAAAAAAAACATATTTTTTATTTTTACATATTATTAACAATACTATGTAATAATTCATATAGGGTTGCCCATCCCTTGATGTTTGGAGGCCTCCTTGTGTGTAGAAACCATTTCAGCTCTGCACACAAAACATCAATTGGACTAAGATCAGCACTTTATGCTGGCCACTCTACTTTACTTTGTTGTCCTAAAGCCATTTTGTGACTAATATGGTAAAAATGTCAGTTCTGTTTTTCCGTGTACTGTTTATTGCTTCAAATTTCATCTTTTTGTTATGTGCACATGTTCTTCTTGTAGTGAAAGATCCCCAAAATATGAAGCGCTTTAACAGTGGGATAGTGTTGTCTAGCTTCCCCCTTAATTATCTTCACCGAGAAGGTGAAGCACTGTGTCTCACAGGTGGGCCTTCATATAACCACGAAATTTCCAAGTAATTTATTTCCAAAAGTGGTGACATCATGCTCTGGGGTGCCCCAAATAGTTCAAAGACATAGTCAGCTTAGCATACTAGCATCTAAATTAGAAAATAAAGGTAATCAAAGATTACTCTCTCATAATTTGTACATTAAGCAAATTTGAATATTGTTTGCGCTCCTAATGTATTTGTGTAGCTTTAAAATCAGACACTAATAAAAAAAAATAATAAAAAAAATATTATTATTTTATCATATCTGATTTCAACCCATAGTAATGATAATAATAATAATAATAATAATAATAATAATAATAATAATAATAATTCATTTTACTTGAAGGTGCCTTTCTTGCCAATCAAGGACACATACAATGATACACAAAAATGCCCTTAAAAAATAACAATAAAGATCAATAAAATCAATAAAATAGACAGAGGAAATGTCAATATCAATAGGCATTAGATGTGTTTTGAGTTGTGATTTGAAATGGGAGAGTGAGTCAATTTTTCGGAGTTGGGATGGTAACGAATTCCAAAGATGGAGAACAGAGCGACTGAAGGCTCTGCTCCCTGTGGTACTGAGATGACAAACAGGTGTATGAAGGAAGAGGATCTGAGGGAGTGGAAACAAAGATAAGCCCAGACAGGTATGGGGGAGCAGGGTTGTGAATGGTCTTGAATGCAGGATAATTTTGAATTGAATACGTAACAGAACCGGGAGCCTGTGGAGCTGTTGGAGGACAGGAGTAATGTACAGTAGGGGAGGAGGTTAGAGCTATGATGCGGGGAGCTCAATTCTGGACCAGTTGAAGTTTATGGACGGAATTATGAGAGACACAGAAGAAGAGATAATTGAAATAATCCAGACAGGATTACTGCAAATGTTAAGAATAAACTAAATCCAGCACATTTATATATAAATGCCCTAACGTTGGTAATACACATCTGTTTCTATTTTTATCTAATTAAACACAATTGATTAGTTATTTTGAGAAACAATGCTAATAAAAATAAATAAATACAAAACTGCATTCCTGCTCCCATGATGCATGACGAACGCAGGTATCTATAGTGAAATTATGTATATTGATAAGAAAGTTCAGGGGAGGGAAAGGTGTAACCAGCCATAGTTTAGCATGTTTTCTTGATTTTAAATGTCTAATTCTGGTTTAAAAGCCAGTTGTATCTTTAATTAGCTTTCAAGTAAGTATAAGTGCATGTAAAATGTTTATTATAAACAATTTACTTGCAAGTAACAGAAACATCTATACCATGACTGTGTATTCTAATGTTTAATAGGTATAATAATACAATATGTATCATACGAGGTACGTTTGAGTTTAACACTCTTAACTAACACTACTTAAACTCAACTAACCTAAACTACTATGCACAAAGAGGAAGGGAAATATGGTTGAAAACCATATTACAGTTTAAGATGGATTTGTGTTTGAAAACAAAAGTTTACCTTGAAGAATTTGGGATATGATCAAATTAGCTTTTCACTAATTTAGAGGAATTGGAATGTTTTCAGACCAATTCACAATGCATATCCATGAGGTGAATAAAACATTATTTGGTTAAATAATGTTTTATTGAATGATTTGCTTAATCAAGAATCAATAAACCTTAGTTAATGATTCTTTACCCTCTTTGAAATAGCTAGCAATGAATAGACATCAGGATTCCACTAAATGACTCTTGGTCATACTTGGTAATCGGAATGTAATGAGCATGTGAGGAACACATGAACACTAATCTTATATCAGTGTTTAAACCTTTAGTGTAATAAAGCTTGTCCAAGCTTCAACAACAGCTCAACACGTTACTAAAGCATAGCATGCAGTTCATACACATTAAATGATCAACATCATCAAAGACATATTGTTTCTTCTGTCCCTAATTACGTCAGACCTGCAAACCTTTTTGTCCAAGTCCATTTGGAAAGGTTGAGAGCAGGAAAGAGAATGTTCTTTGTGTGTTCTGTGGTTTTCTTGTCCTCACAGGCTGGCAAGTCACACATCTGTGGGAGGTCCTGTGGAGGAGTTGGCTGAAAAGGGGGGTTTGAGAGATCTTATAGATGGTTATTCACCAAAGCTGCGACCTCTTCTCTGGTCATCATGTCAAGATAGAACAAGGACACTGGTTCCCAATTTCCACAAACCAAGATCATACCATATGGCATAACAATTTCGAACAACCTGTCGATAGGATCTTACACCTAAGCAATATCATACAAATTGCTGATTAAACCTACATTAGGTTTCACAGTAAAAATTGTTCAACTCTAAGTATTATGGCACTTTAGTTGTCAGGCACCCAAAAGTAAACAACTTTGGTGAGACACATCAAAACATGCTACGAAGTTCAGGGAGCGAGAAAAATGTGACGCTCATTTTTTTTTTTTTAATCAGGGGGAGATGACTTTATTTCCCTAAATTGTACAGTAATGCTTTTTCATTAAACGGATGCCTTCTCCATTTGATTTAGACAACTGTGACGAGACGGGTAGCCTGGCTGGCTCAGAGGCTAGCAGCTCTCATTCACTGCCTTCCGTTCTCGCCGAGGCAGGCAGAAATAGAACATCCCAGGCAAAGGTAGACGGATGTCACCGTGCACTTACCAAGTTGTACCATTGTTAAGGGTTTGCACTCATTTTCTACAGTAGAGACCCCTGAATTTCAGTAGGTGAATGTGAGGCTGTTGTCAGATTGTCATGTTAGATTGTCTAAATAAAATATTTCTCTCCACATAAAACAGATACACTCATTCATCCTCATATATTCTCAAGGAAAATGACTAAGGTTCTCAACCAGAAATACAAAGCCCCAAGCAGAGAAAGCCCAACCAACAACTTGATCCCTGCTTGGTATGATGATGAAAAGGGAAATCTGATCTCTGAGCTGAAAACAGTGTTGAAGGCAGCTATCACGTCTGATGGATGGACAAGTTTTAGTCAGGATCATTATCTCACAGTTACTCTGCACTATGTGAGCAATGGTCAGGCAAAGGAAGAGGTCCTAAAAACCAAAGCTATGTACTAAACTCAGACAGGCTCAGCTGTAGCAGAGGAGATTGATGACATCCTAGAGGAATATGGTATACGAGAAAAGGTTGTGACAGCAACTGTCGACAGTGCAGCCAATATGAAATTAGCCATCAAACAGCTGAACACCCTGAAATTTCCATGCTTTGCCCACACGTTCCATCTGAGAGCGCAGCTGTACAATTGTACCAGTTTCAAATTGGGCTGCACGAGTTTGAGAAGTGATAGTTTGGATGAAGAGGTAACACATGGCAAAAGTTGTTCTGAAAGAGAAACAAGACTTGCTCAGTAACATACTCTCGTAACATTGGATTATGTACATGAAAATATAGATGTATAGGTATGTGTACTAACTCAGTAGATAATCCATATTTACATTGTGTGTATGTTAACCTGCAGAACTACCCAAGCACATGCTCCTCCTGGATGTAAGGACCAGGGGGAATTCCCTCTATGTGATGATGGAGAGATTCTGTGAGCAGCTCCCTGCTATCCAGGCTGCAGCCATAGACCCACGCATAAGAAAGCCCATGGAGAATGAAAGGTGATATATATTTTTAAATGATAATATAGCTTAAACTTGTTTTAAACCGGTTTTATTGTTGTTTATTTATGCTACATGCATCTTTTTTCAGTTTTTATTTATTTTTTACGACAGCCAAAATAGGCAATGAGAATTGGAAAAGCAGAGGCGCTTGTGCAGCTCATGTGGAAGCATTACACCTCCACACGGGCTGTCTCCAGCGAGAAAAGTCCAACCTGCGTTGAGATTTTGCCCATCTTGCAGAAAGAGAACATTTGGAATGACCTCTCCAAACGCTACCAGGCAAGCACAGTTACATTTAATCTTTTCTAGACACTTAAGGCTAATTTGCATAATCCCATACATGTATAATGTCAAAAAAGTAATGTGACCTCCCATGTGACATTATTCATTTAAGGGTGAAATGAAAGAACAGTAGTAATTAAGTATTTAGGATTGTCTTATGCAGTGGCCCATTCATTCATCTTGTTTCTTGGTCTGTTTTCTGAGTTATTTACAGTGTGTTACCGCCATCTACTGGCCATTTTTGTTAACAGCCGGCAATTTGTATCGGTTCCATTTCCTGCTGTGTTATCTTTTGGCCGTTAGTCTAATACCATCCTGTCCTCCTTGATGAAATTGAAGGGAGCCGATATTCAGAGATTCCTGAAGGAAGCCACCACTCTGGATCCCAGATAGAAATACAAAGTGAAAAATGATGAAGTTTGGGACAGGATCAGGGAAGCTGCAATCAAAGCAAATACAGTGGAAGCAACAGATGAGGCATTTGAATTAATTTCTGTTTCAATTCTGTTTGTGTTTTGATTGCATTTGATTCCATTGTTAGTGAGACCTTCTACGGCTCTGTGTTAAAAGTTATTGATGTGGGGGGTGGGGGGGGTGAGGAAGAAGTAGGAGAGGACTATGTACTATGGACTATGGCTCATTTATTTGTAATGACCTTTGGATGCTGCTTTGTCATGAATATTGAGTTTTATATATATATATATATATATATATATATATATATATATATATATATATATATATATATATACAGCCTTGAAAGAACTATTCAAGGAGGATGACAACGAGCTGCGGTCACATATCTTGCAGAGATGATATCCCTGCAGAACAAAAAAGCAATTTGGCTGCTTTTGCAGGAGGAAAGCGGGGAGGGATTTTACTCCAGGTACTTCCTCGTCTCGAAAAAAGACGGGGGCCTGCATTCCATATTAGATCTGTGAGTTCTGAACACATACCTGAGAAAGTATATGTTCAGGATGCTGACTCACGCAGCTCTTATAAGGTTTGTGTGTCTCAGAGACTGGTTTATCTCCGCCGATTTAAAAGATGGTTCTTTCAAATCCCTATATTCTCCCCTCACAGAATGTATCTCAGATTTGCATTTCAGGGGAAGATTTACGAGTATCTCGTACTTCCGTTTGGCCTGTCACTAAGCCCACGGGTAAGTAACAAATGATCACATCATTTGTTATTAGACATTATTGGTAATTAGAAATATTAAACCAAACAAGACCCTAAACAGAGACTATTGCACCCCAAATAAAAAACCCTGAGACCAAATATGAGCAGAGTGGCGTATTCAGTTCAATGCAGTGAGGAATGCTCTGATCTTTATATTGGAGAAACTAAACAACCTCTCCACAGACGCATGACCCAACACAGAAGACCAACCTCCTCGGGACAAGACTACACCTTATGAACAAAGAACATACTTTTGAGGTCCAGAATGTTCACATTTTGGACAAAGAAGACAGGTGGTTTGAGAAGGGCATGAAGGACGCCATCTATGTTAAGAAAAACCAACCCAGTGGCCCTGTCACACCTTGCCGATTTAGACAGCGTATTCCCGACGTCCCAGAATCTCCTAAAATGATGGCATATGCTGAACTTTCTATGTGTTTTTTTTTTCAATTTTAGCAGTATACAGTATATAGCGTATTTATAACAAGTCCAGAACTTATGTCCAATGGCAGCCTTAATTATGCATAACGCACGGCAGCGTAATACCCATGCAATGATGCATAAGCCTCAATTCATAGGCAGCATTACACATTACAGCATAAGTAAAGCTGCTCCCTCAGGTGCATGCCCCCCCCCAAAAACAGAATAAATAAAAAGATAAAAGAAAAAGAAAGAAGGTTTGCAGTCACAGCAGATTCAGCATCATGTCTGCTAGGAAGTTTGTTGGTCGTGGCCCTGGGCGTGAGCGCAGGGAGGATCAGTCACTTACGTTCTCGCTCACCCTATGGTGGTGATGAAGTCTGGAGGAGAAGTTACTCATAGGTTCGGATAAGCTGGACGCCACACGTTAAGTGTAAGTTACATAACGTAACTTACACTTAACAAATGTCAACAATCAGATAACTTACCTGTAACTTATGGACCACATATGGCATACGTACGTTGGCATACGTCTGGAAATTTTAAGCATGCTCAAAATTTCTCAACGTACTCGCCGTATGTCGACGTGTGCCAGCGTGTTTCAGCATGCTTCAGCGTGCTCATAACTTATACAAAACTGACCCATAACTTATCCAACGTATGCCAGATTTTTCGTACGTCAGGCATACGCTGATCTAAATCGTCAAGGTGTGACAGAGGCTTTAAACAGAGGGGGTAGACTCAGATTTTAGCTTTCATAAATCTACAACGCAGCGATAGAGTTGATTCCTTCCACTATCATCGCAACCACCACCCCATAGAGGGGAACAGAACATCTTGCCTGTTCAGCCAGGCCAACAAATCCCACTAACGACCCCCCCCCCCCCCCCTCAGAGACATAGACAGGTATTGGGTATTGAAGGCTAACAAAGATCCCAAATGACTGCCCATTCCTAAGGGGCCGTGCATCTGGTTCAGTTTGCATGCTTTCTAAGCCGAAACAAGGCTTTGTTTTTGGTCCACTCAATAAAGCCTCAAACTCAACACTATTTCGGACACTTTGAATTGAAAAAGCTTCCTGGATGGGAAGCGAAATGTCTTCAAACTTGGAAACAAAGTCCAGATGATTGTGTTTTTACTTTTTTGGAATTTCAAGTTCTCCCTTATAAATGCGTTTTCAAGCGGGATTGAAATAAAGCGATTTAAAACTATATATTTATCATTGTCTCATATTTTATGGGACAAAAACTTGAACTTTAAACGGGTGAAAAACTTTTTCTGTGTTTCTGGTAACACTATTAAAACAGAAATATAAATTTCCATAATTTTCAAGTTAATCTTACAATTGTGTGCTTAAATATGACAGATTCAATGCATTTGCTTGCTTTCTTATTTGTATATAATCCAATGTATTGTTGGCAGATAATTTATCATATACAAAATGCACAAAAATAAAGATATTACCTCATTAAACAAAAGAGAGTAAGGTACTGCTTTAGAATTGCTCCAGCACTACTAACAGGATATATTTATTTTCCAAATCTAATTACAAGTAATAGGTAACAGACAAAAGAAAAAGAAAAAAACAAAAACAAATGCATACATGCACACAAGACATGCAGACATATATACACACGGGTTAGGTTCCTCTGGTGAATCTATTCAGTCTCTAGGTGAGCAGCAGTGGCTTACAGCGACTAATGGATAAAAGGCATCCGTTCCTTGCTGTCATTATCTCCTTCAGGATCCTCCTCTTCCTCTCCTGCTTCACTGGTCTCTGTGCTGTCGTTGGCCATCTAGCAGTGAAATAATCATCATCAAAGGCTGAATTTCTGTAGAGCTAGGGTAAACAAATGTGAGCTGACATCTGGTGGTACAAAACTGCTCCCTAATAAGGAACAACTCCATTTGAGGGCTATATTCCTATTTAAATGATACGAGATGCTCTGGTCTGACATAAATGTCTGTCACAGACATCAGCAGGATGGAAGAAAACAGTTATGGCAACATTTATAAATGTCAAAACAAAACTTTTTAGCAGCTCCATTGTTTTAACATTTCATATCATCTGGTTGTGTACTGAAATATAATTGATAGCATCACTGAATAAATTCACTAACTGTTTTCTTCTGCCTTTGGTATTGTTCCTTCAATCATTTCTGATAGAATTTGAACAAGAGAATAAACCTTCTGTCCCATGTTTGTCATCATTATTTAGCTAAAGCAGCTATCTGACATCTCTTGCAAAGGCCTACTTTATTTAGAAAATATTGGGTCTCTAGGTTTGTCTTGCATCTGTAAAGATATTTATATTCCAATAAATCAGGATGCTAGTAAGTGATGTCAAAGTTAAAAACACCAAGAGCCAAAAAAACAAATTTGCTACAAGCCGAGGGCTGGACTGGTTAAATGTTTATTAAAACATATTAAAATGAACATAGCCTATTGAACCTAACACATTGTTTAAATAAATAAAATAAAAATTAATATCAATATTGTTAAGAAAGTTGTATTATATGAATGCATTTATAAAGATAAATACATAAATGAAAGTGCATTGATTATAAATTATGTTTGGATTGTTTTGGTTTTTGCTTTTCCCCCTTTAAAAATCCAAGCACACTTGGCTGAAGTCTGTTGTCTAAGGAGGTGGAGTGCACCAACTGCACTCTGCAACTGCTGCGCGCAGGTGTCAGCAGAGGCTGGATAGAATGAGAGGGGAGCTGATCCTGCAGGCGATAGAGACAGACACGCTGCTGAGCAAGGGGCAGAGGGATTGGCCGGATCCAGCCCGCAGGCCTTGACTTTGACATATGTGGGTTAACCCATTGCTTAGGCGAGAGTAGAAATGTAGCCAAGTATTAACTCTGAAAGGTCCAAAATAATCTTAACGGACAAATTGAAGCACAAAAGAACCATGTCTGTTGGGAGTAAAATCAGTAGAGACGATGATCTTACCAAAGGGGTAGGAGACTTCTCCACATCCAGAATGAGTTTACCAATGTTGCCTCTGTCATGAATTCTCTGCATTGCCTCTTTCACCTAAAAGAAATTCAGTTCATTACATTTTCTTTTAGATAGACAAGCATCTTATTTCTTACCTCCAGGTTTGCAAAGATTTCAAAAAGCTAAAGGTTTCAAAATCATTAAGAATGCATTTTAAAATCTTTTTATTGTCCGTTTTAACTGAACGTTTTTCCTCTAGAATTTTTCATCTTTTTATCTGCCTAGGCTGTTGTTTGCTTGTGATTATTATTTTGGTTTTAGGGGTTCTGGAAGTTGTTCTGTTTATGTAGATGGCATCCCCCTTCAGTTAAGTTGCTCCTCATTCTGCAGGATGCTGCTGCAAACTAGTGACACAGATCTCTGTCTAATTCAACAGCAGAGCCCAGAAAGTAATTAGAAACTAAGAGACCGGGAAGATACAGAATATAGTTTCCAAATAGTGCGGTTATAGTTCAAAAGCCACAAACTCGCTTTCAAACTGTGCTTAAGTTTTCATGTAACGGATTTGGAATTAATCTGCATAATTTACCTGCAAGAGAAAGGAAAGGTTCGATGGGGATTACAATTGATTATCTAAAGTCATTGTTTATATGGTGAATATAAGATCTGAAGCTGAAATACTTTATTTTAGAAAAAGTTTGTTAGATATTCTCCAGATATTAAATAATCAAAGCATCAAAATATAAAACAGTAACCACACACAGGGAAGTGCAGCCACTGTTGCTGTAGCATCTTGGCTCCATTTAAACTTGGAATGGTTGAATGATCAACAACCGCTACAGTGAATATATTTGTTTAAAGAGGAATAGTCACTTGATAACTTTATGAATTTCTACACCCGCAGCTCAAACTGATAGCATGGTATGGTAGCTTATTATGCTTTATTTCTGTGTTTTACACCTTCTTTTTTTACTGTTTAAGCAATCAAAGTGCTCTTGTGTGTTTTTATTATAAAAAGACAATGTGACCACCGGTATGATATTACCCATGCGTGCAATGAGTAAAAAATGAGAAAAAATTTAGCCTTTGTCAGAAGCAATAAAGCCAAGTGAGTCTACAACAATAGGAGTAGGATGAACGGAAGATCAAGTGTGAAAATTATTTTATGTCACAATAAAAAAAATACTCGAAAAGAGGTCAAATACAATGTAACTACGAATGTTCACTGAAACCGGAGCTAAAGCTGGAGAAGCATGATACCAAGTTGATGGACGTGCAAATATAAAGTCTTACTAATGACACTATTTATTACATTGCTTCTCTTAGACTTTTAGTTATGACGGAATATTCAAAATTCCAATTTGATAGCATGAACTGCCGGCAGATGATGTACAAACATATCTATGTCAATTGATCAGGGTTAAAAATTGAGTTTATTGTTTTATTTTAGGATAAATATATGTTTTTTGTGTTTATCTTATATTTCATGATAAGGCTATTTAAAGCACCAAAATAGTTTAAATAGTGACACGAAACAGTTTTTAATCTGAATCTGATTTTTTTAAAGGATAATCCCTAAAATAATAGACCACTAACAACCCCTGTCCAACTTTCTCTTTGACTATGTCTTCATCTGTTCATCAATAGGATTCAACATGTTTTAGAAAGTTTTAAAGTTTACATGAAGAAAAGCTAAATTAAGGAAACAGCTGTGTTTGTAATTTTTTACCCTGATGGGCCGACCATAAATCTCCATTTTCTACCTATCGTGTCAAAGCAGCACAGTTTAACCTCATTGCTCCTCATTAAAGTAGAAAATTGTGTACAAAAAGGAGGACATATCTTGTTTTCTCATTACAGTTAAAAACACCTCTTTGTCTGCAGCCACTGTGCCACAAATGTTCAGTGCAGAAAAGCAACAACCAGGCCAAGAGCAAAATTAGGTTAAAATGTGTCCACCTCTTTCTGCTTGGTAGCACTTCTTCCAGAAAAAAAGACTGTATCTTATCAGCTAAATAAATTCTGGTAGAAAATCTCTTAGTATGTTGCTTTGTTTAAACACACCCTCCTCAGTGTTTTAGTCCAGAGAAAAAAGGTTACCATGGTCAACATGGTAACCTCACATAAACTATTGTCCAATTATTTCTCCTTCACCCATATTAACTAGTGAGGCCTGACACAACATCCCACGCTATCCAGCCTTCTAATGAAATTCTTCATGGGCAATGGTTGCAGTGAATGCCCTGAGCAGTCTGCCAGTGTTTAATGACAACACTACATTAGAAGTTTCCCATGAGAAATAAAAAATCTGATGCTATGGTCAGCTCATCAGCATCTCCCTTGCTCTTTGACTGGGGATACAGAGATTAGAGCTTCTGGCTATATAAATAAGGTTTATCTACAAATGCATTGTATAAACCTCTTCATCATTGAAACCGATCGAAATAATGTGTCTGTCTAAACTCACCTGTAATGGTACATTTAGATGTATACCGTTAAGGGAAAACATTTCAATGTTAATGGCTAATTACATCATAACTTAAGAATCATAAAGACGAGAGCAATTTTGTTAATAAATGGTTAAACGCTGGAGGACATAAAAATCGATCTGCTGGGAGCCGGTGGAACTTTTGGCACGGGGGAAGAAGAAGGGGAAATTATTAGCTGTTACTCAACAAGCTAAAACTATAATGGCTCAGTTCAAATATCCGCACTTCCACCCTTACGTTCTCAAATAACGTGTTCCCGCTCAGGGTTTGAATGCGTACTGTATCCCGGTTCTCCAGAGTGGTCTTTTGCCCTGCCACCTATGTGCCCTTGAGGCACACTTGAGCTAAGCAAGTTGACTTTGGTGAAGTGTATTGCCCACAACTCATTGCTGCATGTGATGTTTAGAGCAAAAAAGCAGAATCCCGGTGATGATCCGGCTCCCGTGTCTTGTCGTTTGATCTCGATAAGCAAAAGATCCCCTTTAAATCATCCACAAACCTCAAATGATTTTAAAGAAGAGATTCGTTCACCAGATGCTTATGAATTTTATTCAGTTAAAAAGGAAATAATCTTACAATAGTCAACTGCTTACTGTGATTTATAATATTTCAAATTCTAAATTGGCTCATAGATTCTACATTGACAGTCTAAGTTCGTCCTTTGGATTTTCAAATATCCATTGTTGTAAATAAAACGTAGCCACACCTTTTTAAAATGTTGTTTTTAATTATTTTTAGTTAATCCTTTTATTTTAAAACAATGCACCCATAAGACACTATAAGGAAAATATGCTATGTGTGTATATTTTTTAATACTTTTTATACATATTCGCCCAAAGATGCTCTTGTAAATTAAACTGAGTATTTTTGTGTCCTCTCCTCACCTTAGATATTGGCTAATATTTTTGATGGGATTTCACTTGTTTATTCCATTAAAAATAAATAAATAAAATAAGTAAAATGAATGACTCATATTTTACTTTATAGGTTTAAATATAAAATAATTTCTTGTTGCAGTTTTAAAATCACTTTTCAGATGTAAAACAGGTTTGGTCCTTTCACACTGTCACACTGGCAAGTACTGTCTCAGTTCTCCAGATTTTGCACGCTTGGAACCTGCACACTGAAACACTTAAGTGCACTGCAGAGAAGAGCGTAGGGTTTATTGTGAGTCAGACTGGGCCAATGAGTCAGACTTATCACAGAAAGTAGACTCATTGACTTTTGATTTTTAAGCTAATAATTTTCAAATTAACTGTTCAAAATTTGTTGGAATATGATTTTGTTTATTGTATTTAAAATAAACCAAAAGGTTTTGAAACCTTCTAATAATATCTCAAAATGAACCTCTTCTTATTAATTTAAAGGCACCAATATGGATGTTTTCTAATAAAACTAATTAAAACAAACCCCCTTTACCTTTATTTCAAATTAACTACATAGGTAGGTATGTATGTGCAGAGGGAACGGCTGCAACCTGATGCAAAGACTGTGAACTCTGCAGGAATGATGGGCTTCTTTGCACATGCATATATTCAGCACCATCTGCTTTATGGATTAGCTGCTGATAAAAGCAGAAAAGTGGAATAAAATGACAGTTATGTTACTGTTATATGTCCTGTATGCTGCTTAAGGTTTAGGGATTTTTACATGGATGAATCAAACCATTTTTTTTCCTCATAGTCTTGGATATTCTTGTTTTGACTAAATCTATCAAGCACTCTACATATTTAGGTCACTGCAGGTCTTTACCTCCTCCAGAGCCCACAGGGAGTCCACTACAGGCTTGATCTTCTTCTCTTCATAGAGACGCAATAGTTTGTCCATCACTGATTTTACAAGATGACATCCTCCTTGTTTGAAGAGAAGGTTGAGGAGAGAGAATCCCGCTATAACTTTGTTCTCCTCATAAAGTTTAATTGGATTCACCTTTTCCACCTGCCACCACTGAAGAATAAAATAGAAAAAATACATTTAGGAAGGACTTATCTATATACAATAGGTGGTTTAAAAATGTCTCTCTGACTCACAGATTTTGCAAAACTGAAGAAGCTCTTTGTTTCCCCAGTCACCATGTTTGATGCGCCTGTAAAAACCAAAATAAAAGCGTTCCTGTAAAAGTGGTCAATGACAGGCAGCTTTGACTCATGGAGGGTGAGGCAGGGGAGGAACAGTCGGTGACACCTCAGACCTTTAGATCAATGCAAACATGCCTCTGCATATGTTCACCACAAGTACAGCTAATAAATTGACCTGCTAATGACTTGGTTAAATGCATGAGTCTTTACAGACAATTAAATCACCTAATAGCAGCCGTTAATGATGCTGCATCACATTTAAAGGTTAAGGAGACACTTAAACCAGCGGTACTGCTCTACACCCTTAACCCTTCCAATATATGCATGATGGAAAGTATTAAATTTTTTTTAAAATATCTAAAAATTCTGACAAAAAAAGTCACAAAGGAAAGATTAGTAAGTCTGTAATTATAACAATCTCAGTAAATGATCATTTTAAAGGAAACAAAATTCTCCAGAAACGTTTGAAGATCATCTATGTAGTATATCATACCTCGCTTAGAGGTTTACCTTGACAACATCCATTTAATCAAATCATATTAAAAAGCCAGTATGTGTGTTCCAAAGAAAACCCAACAGAAACATTGAATATACATGTTAAACTTGCTCAGGCATTGCCCTCACCATAGAGGATGTAGGTTCCCAGCGGCTTGAGCAGACTCAAGCTTTTCCCTGTGTTTTCGCCACACAGGCAGTCCAGCACAATGTCAACTCCATCTGGAGACATCCTGTTGATCAAAGCAAAAACAAAGTTCATTAAAAAAATACAGCTCCATGATAAACACCCCCAAGAAGCTGTAAAGGTCCATTTTTGGTTCCAGGCAAGCATAGGCGGATCTACTGGGGTGGCATAGGGTGGCAACTGCCACCCTAAATGACAGCCTTGCCACCCCTGCTGCCACCCCAGTTGGCGGTAGGGGTGGCGAGGCTTATTAATTATTATTATTATGGATAATTTGAGAATTACGACCGCTAATTTCCAATGTCGGACTGCAGTGAATGCAGCACGAGATGACGCGAGAGCGACTGTCTGAGACTGATTGTTTTGAAAACCGAATGGGGCAAAGCGAGGTACCCAGGGGTCATGGGGAGAGGAGACACGGGATGAAACAGGTAAAAACTGATAAACTATCTATCGAGAAATGAAATCATAATGAAAGCACAATGTGCTAGCATAGCTGCAATGCTGATTTTGAGATGATAAAAATCAGGTTGCAGAACGTTATTTCTCTATCTATGATGTTAGTGAGGCCTGACGTCTCAGCCTCATAAAGACATATTTGCGGTCAACTATGACAGAAAAGAGACGATCAAGTTTGGTTGTACTCAAATCAAAACGCACAAAGGCATTGGATCTAAAAAAATGTGTGAAGCGTTTTGCTGAGCAACATGGAAATCGCTGCATTCAGCTGTTATAGTCATGTTAACTTTATGTTATGCTCTCTGGTGAGCCTTTACAGAGCTGCTATGTTTTGTTTTGGCACCTGAGAAAGTCTGATATTTCCTTTAATAAAACCAAAAGTGTTAAAAGTAAATTTAAAAATGTGATACTGGTGTGAATCCTGCTTAATATGAAGCAGTGTTGTTTCTTTTTTGTATATATAATATGAAACTATCCAGAAATGACCTGTATGAACCTACTCACAAAATGTTTTGTACTTTTACAGATTGGAAGCAAAATTTATTTTTATGTTGCTTCTTTTCAGATTTGTGGAGATTTTGATGTACCATACCATACCATACCAGCTTTATTTATAAAGCACTTTAAAACAACCACAGTTGATACAAAGTGCTGTACAGTTTAAGAACACAACATAATAAAAATAATTTAAAAACAGTTTAAAAGCAAACAACATACAATTTAAAACTAGATCCCACTGGTGTTGAAAGCCAAGTAAAATAGATGGGTTTTAAGACGAGCTTTAAAAATGGGCAAAGAAGGGGCCTCTCTGACCTGCAAAGGTAAGTCATTCCATAATTTGGGGCCCATAACAGAGAAAGCCCTGTCCCCTCTGAGCTTCCTTTTTGTTCTCGGTTCCTCCAAGAGCAGCTGATTTGCTGACCTGAGAGACCGATGGGGTACGTAGGGATGAAGAAGCTCAGAGAGGTAAGCTGGGGCAAGATTATGCAATGATTTAAAAACAAACATAAGAATTTTAAAATGAATCCTAAAATATACAGGCAGCCAGTGAAGTGAGGCCAGGACAGGGGTCACATGCTCTCTCTTTCGAGTACCTGTCAAAAGTCGTGCAGCAGCATTTTGTACTAGCTGCAGACGTGAGAGCAGCGACTGACTGACTCCCAGATAAAGTGCATTACAGTAGTCCAATCGAGTTGAAACAAAAGCGTGGATCAGTGTTTCAAAATGCTGCCTGGAAAGAAAAGATTTCACTGACGCCAATCGCCTTAAATTATAAAAGCTGGACTTAACCACGGCTCTAATTTGGCTGTCCAATTTAAAATCACTGTCCACCTTAAAACCAAGATCAGTAATAACAGGTTTAAAATATACCTGCAAAGGTCCCAGGTCAACAGAGGAGGACTCACAAGAGCCACTGGGTCCAAACACCATCACGTCTGTTTTGTTTTCATTAAAGTTTAAAAAGTTCAAGGCCAACCAAGCTTTAATATCTCCTAGACATGCCAGGAGATGTTTGATTGAATGTACATCCTGCTGCTGTATGGGCAAATAAATCTGACAATCATCAGCGTAACAATGAAAAGAAATCCCATGTTTCCTAAGGATAGAACCCAGAGGCAGTATATAAAGAGAGAAAAGCAGTGGGCCAAGAATTGAGCCCTGTGGGACACCATAAGACATTGAAGCAACAGATGATTTAGAGCCACTAATATTCACTGAAAAAGTTCTCTCCTCCAGGTAAGACCTGAACCATTTAAGAACAGTGCCATCAATACCAGCAATGTGGTGTAATCGCGATATTAAAATATTGTGGTCTACTGTATCAAAGGCAGCAGTTAGGTCAAGTAACATCAGAACAACATGGTGACCAGAATAACATGCAAGAAGAATGTCATTAAAAACTCTTATTAAAGCAGATTCTGTACTATGAAGAGTTTTAAAGCCTGACTGAAAAACCTCCAGAATGCCATTGTCATCTAAAAACTGTGTCAGCTGACAGTACACAATTTTCTCTAAAACCTTAGAAAGGAAAGGCAGCTTCGAAATAGGCCGATAATTAGCCAGAACAGTCGGATCAAGGCCAGGTTTTTTAAGCAGTGGCTGCACTACTGCATGTTTAAAACTAGCAGGGACCACACCTGAGGACAGACTGCTATTTATAATTGCAAGAACAGGCTGCCCTATGCTAGGTAAAATATCTTTAAAAAGTCGTGGAGGCACAGCATCCTGGGGGGAACCTGATGGCTTGTAACATACAGTACCTGTCTTTTTGTTGATTTATTGATCCAGCAGCTCTATCTGCAGCATATTTCCATGCATGAAATGTCCCTTTCATGTTGCCTTAACTGCTGTATGTCAAGTTACTGAGGAACAAATAGGGTAAATGTGTGTTCAGAGTAAACATTACATAGATGTCCAGTACCTTGTTCGGGTGCCGTGACCCATTTATTTCTACTGTGTAGTTCTGCTCACTTTAGTGCAGCTCAGTCCATAGATCTCTGATAGGAAACTTTTTCTTTCTATAGTTTCTTCTTGTGCAAATGCTGCAAAGCTGCCTCTCTGACAGTCAATCTCACACATCTGCGACTCAGCACCTGTGTCTTACCTTAATACCTTTCCTGTGATAATGCCCCTCTAGAAGTAGTGTTATCATTCTTCTATCTCCTATTAAGTGAGAACACATTGTACGATGTATTTCTAATATGAACTGCTTCAAATGAAACACTTACTGTACATAATATTCTCACCAAACTGTGATAACTTCGATTAAATTTAGTGTAAACAAATTTCATACGTTGCCACCCCTCAAAAATTCCTGCCCCCCTCTTGCCACCCCATAAATATTTTTCTAGATCCGCCCCTGCAGGCAAGTGTGTTTCATGTCAAATTGCACAGTAATGGTCATAGACAATAGCTCACTCTCCTGCTTATGTTCAAGTATGAATGGCAAGTGGTTTGTTTTAGGCTGTTTCCAAATGTCAGTGTGCAGGTAAATATACCCAGATAACACCAAAAATGATTTAATTTCATTGCTATTAAAATAACTTTTGATCATGGAAAATTTCAAATTAAAACGGATAATAATTTTGTGTTGTTAAGGTTGTTCTATATTGAATTAGAAATAAACATTTATCTTAAATAAAGACCTTGGTTCAATGTCTTTTTCCACCACTACATTTGCTACATTTGGTTTCCTACTCAAGTTGAAATTCAGATCCCATCATTGCTTAGTCGACTATGCTCTAGTAGCAAGTTCATGGCTGCTTTCGAATTTATAAGATGCGTCTTCCAAGGATATGGTTTATCTGGACTGGATCCTTGGAAGTCCGTGAAGAGTTTTGGCTATGAATTCAAACCGGTCCAGCCTGCCGTGGCTTTTTCAATCTCTTAAATTCAACAACAAAAAATACCTAGTTAAAGAAATTGTGCAAAACAGCAATTAACAAATAAAAATCCTATCAGATTTATGGTCCTCACACTGCAGATATATTAGAATCTGTCCTTAAATTAAAGCCAAACCCATTTACACAATAACAGATAAAAATATTTAGATAACTTAAACATTATCCGCCACATATCTGACTCAATAACCATTTAAACAACCATTTTCATTAATTTCAGACGGAGCTATTCACATTCTTTTAATATATTAAACTGAACTTCCAATGTTCACCCCTGTTCGGTGCCAAGTACCTTTTTCCTCTGAACACAGAGCAGCCAGCTTGCTTGGTCTCTCAATGAATCCTGGGATAACCAAGGATAGTTAGGATAAACTGGACCCATCCTTTAAATCAGGCAAAAAACGAAGGACGCATAACAAGGAGTCTTGGAATCTGACCAGACCTCAGCGCCACGCTATGTAATCGGCCTTTGAATCTGGCCTTCGGAGAACGAATCCCATAAATTCGAACGCAAACCATAAATTGTCGGAAAGTGGAAACTGCAACTAACAACACAAGCTTTTATAATAACCCTAGAAAAATGCAAAAAATAAAGGGTGATGCTGGGGTGTGTCAACAGTTCCTGCAGGAGGAAGGAGTCAAAGCTATGGACATGCCTGCCTGTTCCCTAAACCTGAATCTGCTTGAGCACTTCTGGGACATCATGTCTTGATCCATCCACTATAATCATCTTCCACCACAGACTGTCCAGGAGTTGGTGGATGCTTTGGTCCAGGTCTGGGAGGAGATCCCTCAGGAAATCATCCTCCACCTCACCAGGAGCATAACCAGGTATTGTAAGGAGGTAATACCGTCACATGGAAACCACACACAATACTTAACATTATTTTGACCAGTTTAACCCTGTAATGCCAAATGTATCATGTTTGATAAATACGGTTTCTGAAATGTTTTGCATCTGACACCTTTTGCATAATTTAATGTTAAAAACTTTGCTCAAAATCCTATTGTACACAATCAGATATACCTGATAACAGAGGGCAGAAGACTACACAAAAAATAATCTTGACTTATCGCATGGTAATAAATTATTAAGATCAAAAATGCATTTCTGTTTTTTCTTTTTACATATTTTGTTAAAAGGCCAAATAAGGACTTCAAACCAAAAAGAAGTAATTTTCTGTTTTTTTTTTTTATTCTTGGATCGGGCTTTAAAGGGTTAAAGACATGGAATACAAGTTGGATTAGCCTGTTTACCGCTTTAATTTTGTGTGTGACTCCAAACCCAGGCCTCCATTGGTTAATACTTTTGATTTCCATTGATTTTTGTGTAATTTTGTTGTCAGCACATCCAGCTTTGTAACAAAACATGTATTTAATGAGAATATTTCATTCATTCAGTTTTAGGATGTGATATTGGAGTGTTTTACTTTATTTTTTGAGCAGAAATAAGGTAAGAATTAATATTATTTTTAGTTAATATGTTTAGGAACTTTGAGCTAACAGACTAAATTGTCAATCTCATTCTAAGCACTAGCAAGAACTTTTTTCTTTTTTTTTATTACTGTTAGATTCAGATCAAAATGTTATTTTAAAAAGGCTAAAAGCTTTACTGATAACTAGTTAAGCTAATTTGCTGTGCAGGTAAGTTCATTTTCTTTTGAATCATTTCTCAATTATTTGACTAACTGTTTCAGATCCACTGTACATGTGTTGAAAAGGTCATGTGCAAAAGAAACGATGAGGATTTGGCTCTGACTTTAAAAAAAAAAAAACTTTGTGATTGGATATGGTTACTCTACTCTTGTTTCTGACAGTGAAGATTAAATACAAAAGGGCAAAATGGAGTCCATAAATAGAGCCTGTGATTCATCCTGTGGAGAGACTTTATGTTCTGTCTAATCATGGATTCGTAAGTTATGATCATTTACTCTCTTGCGATTTACTGTCGGAAAAACTTGCAGCCTACAACCCACGTATCTCTGTAGCTTTGCCTACGGCGTTAATACTGAGATATGCAGTCCCACAACATTATACACTGAATGAGTAAAAAAAATGCTGTTGTTTAAGGTATTATCAGACATAAATCTACAATAGTGATACTTGTTAAAGGAGTGGGCATAGAAGAGAATACAGGATGTTCTGACATTCTTTTCTCTTGACTTAATAGTTTGGAGAACCTGCTTTGCTGAGCTTGCTGGTGGTCTTGTGATTCTCATGGTTTTTGCCTTTTGTAAAAAGACTAATTTAACTGAACTTTGTACTTGATCCTGGGAAGAATGTGTAGGGCCAGAGATGAAAAGCAGACTAATCCACAACCAACGCTGATAGGTGGGTTGAAAAGTATAAAACATCAGTTCTTTCTGAAGCTTTTTAAAACTTTTTTTTTTTCATAATGGAAAAAACACATCCAATACTATAAAAACACATCCTTAAGGTCCCTTCTGTTTTCCCGATACTTTAATTTAAAAGTCAAAGTTTTGTGTAATGCTTTAAAGAGATCTTGATAAGTAGTCTTTAAAAGTGTCTGGTGGTCTTTGTTGTGGACTTTAAGTGTAGTACTTAAACATCATTGTGAAAATAATAACATTTAAAAATAAGAAATGTGAAAGATATAAGAACTATCAGGCCTGAACTATCTACAAAAGAGGAACAATTACATTTTCAAGATGCAGGAAATGAATCTACCAAAGATCCTTTATAACCCGATGAACTGCCAGAGTATCTTGTTTTTAACTGCTAAAATACTGTTTTACAACCTTGAAACTGTGTATCACGTGTAATATCTAAGATTTACTTAAAGGTTTTAAGGTTCCTTCTAACAAAGTGTTCCCTTTGCTATGTTCACAGATTCCCGCCACATTTTATGACGCTCCCCTCTACTGACCCCACCATCGGTAAGCGGATGAGGAGAGATGTGCAATCATTTCTCCCTAGAGTGTTTGTGCTTTGTATTAACCAAAGCATTTAGGTAAACTGGGGTCTCATATGACCAGACTTTCTTTTCCCTCTGTGTTTCAATTACTTTTCCTAATGTACATCAGAAAACATTCTATAAGCTTAATGTCATGATCTTGGCGCTTTAATACTGGCTTGATTGCTCAATCCATTCACCTGCCTTGCTCCGCCCAGTTTCTCATTACCAATCTTCTGTTTCACCTGCTCCAGTCCCTATTACACCAACCTACTTCCAGGCATCAGTGCCAGATTATTCGAGTCCCTGATGAGAGCTTTCTAGCTGATGTTAATTGCCTGATCCTGACGTGTTCTACCTTTGGACCTCTAAGCCTGCCTGTTCCTGTTTTGATCTGTTTGCCTGACGTGTCTTTGGACTCATGCTGGATTTCTGCCTGTTTGCCGTGCCTCGATCTGGTTCCTGACACTGTCCTGGATTTCCCTTCGATATCTCTTCGAATCTCTGATCTTCTAGCCCAGACTCCTGAGAACCTCCTCAACACCAGCTTTGGCTTCACCTTCTGGATTATTCTGCCTTCCTTCGTCTGCTCGGTTCTAATCTCCTACCTGTTCGTCAATCTTTGGGGCTTCGACATCTGGAACTCTCTGGGCAGCATCCGTCGCATCTTAACTGGCTGGAATCTACCTCGTGCTCTAGGCATGGACTGAACTTTAATACCAGTTAAACCTGAGTTTTCTTCCTGCAGAGGTTCCTGCCTTAGACACCCTAACTGTTTACTGCAAATCCCTCATTTTTAATAAACGCCTTTTGATATATTTGTCTGTCTGAATACTGGGTCTTCCGCTCTGAGCCTTGACACTTCAACATATTATCCTTTAACGGTGGCGTATTATACATCAAGAGTGCCATGGCTAAGAGCATTATTTATTGTTTGCTTAAAAAAAAACTGTAGCCGTTAATTCAATTTTTAGATCTCTGTATGTGGTCACTGATCTTGAATAAATCCTCTGACTAAATCTTGTGAGGAAGTGCTAACTTTGACATTCAGTAATGAGGTTGCATAGATCCTGAGAGAGGTCTTCAACCTAAATCATGCACACAATCCTCTTTTTCCGAACTTCAGACACCTTTCCATAATCCACCAGATATGACTAAAACGGCTAAAATTATTCAGTACAATATATATATATATATATATATATATATATATATATATATATATATATATATATATATATATATATATATATATTACAGCATATTCTATGTTATTAAAGTTATTAATAATTGAATATTATCAGCAGGAATAAAATCTCCAGAAAATTCTTAACATATTGCAAGGTATTTAAAAAAAAAAAGAACTTTAGAAACCTTGTGATCGTTTAATCGTTTTAAAAGATTTTTCCAAAGACATCATCACTAAGGCTCTTTGGCAGCAGCGCCTGTTTGATTTGCAGTCAAGCAGACAGCATGTTCATAGTAATATTTATCACTGCCCGGTCCTAATTGGTTCAGCTGCTCCCCAAGCAGACCTCCACCCAGACCTACACAAAGCCACAGCACTCTGAAAGCAGCCAGTAATAGTTGCCATGGGGACCACTGCAACTCAAGTACAAATAAGGTAACGGGTAACATCTGCATCCTCAAGTAGCCCTGTGCCCACAGCAACGTCTGCAGTATTGTATCAGTTACCTGACAGCTTCCGCTTGAATCTTCAGACATTACATTTGAAATGAACCCTGCATGCTTACTTTTTGACTTCCTGTATGTAGTCCGTGTTCCTGTCGAAGAGGTGCGTCACAGAGTCTTTGATGGACGAGTGTTTAAAACAGGAAGCGATCCCAAACACAGTTACGTTAGGTACAGTGGAGCATAACTGGGCCACAGCCTGTCCCTGAAAATGAGAGCAGGTTTTTATCAGCCTAAGGAAATCTGTCACAAATGGAAATGATGTGTTTCCATAAAACTGAGCAGTGGGATTTTACTTTTTTTTAATAGCAGCTGCATTTGTGTTAATTTTAAGGTACATTTATATTCCTATTGTTGAATGAAGGGGCTTGACTTATTTCAGTGAACTCACCACTGCACCCCCAGCTGAGTGGACCAGAACCGACATTCCTTCCCGTAGACTGGCGACTTCAAAAAGCATAATGTACGCAGCCACAAAGTTCAGAGAGAAGGCTGCTGCCTCTGCAAACATCATCTCATCAGGCATCTTGTAAACAAAATCCGTCGGTGTGCAAACCACCTCAGCCCAGGCATTATAGTTCATAAACGCCATAACTCTGTCACCTATCTGAGAGAGACATGCAAAAACTTTTCAAGCAAACATGTAAACAGATTCTTGTAATATAGGATTAATCCAGATTTACCGATACAGTATATATTTGGTGGATGTGGCACAAATCCTGACCTCAAATCCCTGAGTGTTTTCGCCCACAGACTCCACGATTCCACAGCACTCAAATCCAGGAACAAGGGGAGTTTTTGGAGGATTATCAATATTCCCCTGCCGTACCATCAAGTCCAGGAAATTCAAGCCACTGCAACACAAAATAAACTGTCAGCAAATTACTTACAGTCAAAATTCAGAAAAGGAAACCCTTGTCTTCATGGAGTCTTTTTTCCCCCCACATCTAGGTATTAAATGGCATATTTAATATGAGCTACTAAAAGATGCAAGGTTAACCTAGAGCTACACTTTTCATTATGACTAGCAGTGAGTCATGGGCTTATCCACTGAGAACACAAGGCCAGATTCCACACATGTAGTGCTGTATTGAACAAAATGAAATGCTCTTTCATTTGTCTGTCTGCCAACATTGGCAGAGGCTAAGCTGCAATAGGAAATGAAAAGACCTGCAGAGGATGGAATGGAAAAAAACAGATTCTTAAGTTTAAAATTATGCATCAAATAAAAAAAAAATGTAGGCTTTTTTTTTTTAATGAACAGGCTTCAGACAGCCAAGAAAAAAAAGACCTGTAGCTTCATGACTAAGAATTTCTCCCATCAGCTGCTCAGCTTTTAGACTTGGATAAACAATCATAGATAAATAAAACATAGAAGACACTCTATAGATCTAATAGATGGTATACTGTAGTGATATTCACCATGCTTTGACGCGGATCTTCACTTCACCATCCTGGGGCTCAGGCATTGCCTTCTTGGTTACCCGGAGTTTGTTTAGACCTCCGAAACCTGCCAGGACCACAGCTCGCATTTCTTTGGCGTTGATGGGTGATTCAGCGCTCAGCGCCTCTTTACCCGCATTTCTGTCTATCATATACTCGGTTTCCTCTGTCATATCTGCTCCTTCTTTAGCCATGTTGGAGAGCGGCTGCTCTCTGTCCTCCCTGATTCTCCACAGTGATGAGGGGAGCCGTTATTCTGAGCTTGGTCACTATTCAATAAGCAGCCATACATGAAAAAAAAAAATATTTCTAAAATTTATTGTGTTTGATTTTTAGAAAAAGACTAAAGTTTATAACTTTGGTGATTAATAAAAACATATATATATACATATATATTTCTTTTATTATTAGAATTCCATCCTCCGTTGAAGAATGTAGTGCGCCATCTATCGGTGGAAAGTTGAACATAAAACTTTCTTTTTCCGAAGCTGCAAAGGCAAATCTGCCAAACTTTATGTAAAAATTGACACAAACTAACGTTTACAACTTAATAAAAATTAAAAGAGGAAATAAATTAACTCATAAAAAAGTAATTCATGGAATTAAAATAAAACACAGGCATTATATTAACATTTTATTACAATTTTATCATGTTTTACATTCTTATTCTTAAGTAATGTGTGTGAAGTTAATTCACATTTACTCACAATATCTTCTCTTTTTTTACTGTTTAGGGACTAACATAAATCATTCTAAATCTTATCAGACTTATCTATATTTATGTTTAGAGTATAAAGTAGAACCAAAATGTAATATCAAGGGAAGAGAATATTTATATTGGCAGGATGTGTGACACAAAAAGATAAATAGCTTTTGCTGCAAAGGCAAATCTCCCAAACTTAATGTAAAAATTGACACAAACTAACATTTACAACCTAATAAAAATCTAAACGAGGAAATAAATGAAGTAGAACCAAAATTTTATATCAAGTGAAGAGAATATTTATAACAACAAAAAAATAAACGGTTTCTGCTACTTGACAAAGTTTTTATATCAGAAGCCATTCCTGAAGCAACTAGAATTCAGTCCCCCACTACACCAGAGAGGAAACTAAATGCAAATAAACAAACGTAATATAAATCATGATCTATATTGACTTCCACTGTTAGTTTTTAGTTTTACAGTAGTTCATTTTAGAAAATTACAAGCATATACTTAAATTATGACCTTCGGTTAAAAGAAGCAGTTAGGAAATTTTTTATTTTAGGCTATTTGTTGATCTCCTATATTTGCTGGATCAATGAATCTGTGATCGGCCTCATGGTCTGTGGAGGAAAGCTGCATTTACCTGGCCTCACCTGTTGATTTGGCTTGGCCTTTGTGAATTGTAGTAATGATGGTTGCAAAGGTTTAAAAAAAAAAAAAAAAAACATTGGTTATTAATCATGTAAAGCCACTGCTTTTTATTACTTCCATCCGGAACGTGAGCATACAGTTTGTGTAACACATCTTTGTTTTTTTAAAATAAATCAGCTTTAATGGAACTGTACATACATTGTGATCACATTGCAGGAAAATTAGCTTAAAGCAAGGGTTTCTAGACCATTTCAGGTGCTTGTGATGACCACCACTAGCATCACTGACAATCCTGAGAGAACCCCAACAGGGGAGAATACCGACTTGATCATCATCTAACATTTTCCAAGTCATGTTGTGCGTATTACAGCTGTAACTGGTTTTAAATCTCAAGTAAAAGACATTCTTTAAAAAAAAAACAACTTAGTACATCTTTCTGTGCAGGTCTTTCAGATTTTCACTTTACCAACATGGAACTACATATCTGCCGGTGACGCTTTGTTTGTTTTAATATGGTTTGTGAATAATACACTGTGCATGATGAGTCTGCACAGTCTTATCAGGTGACAAAGCAGAAAAAGGTTGAGAACCAGGAGAGAAAGGTAATGTCTTTCTTCCTCATTATTTTGGGATATTAGTAAATATTCGCAGGCCATGCATGCCTTGGATCTCCTCCTTCAGGGCCTGTGAAGGAAAGATGATACATAGTGAATAAAACTCTGATCAAAGCAACCAGATAATGCTTTAAGACCTAATATTTTGCCAAATTATAAGAATAATCCTAAAGAGCTGACAGATGTGATTGCCAAAAGGATATAGACTACAGTTTGATTACAGTTTGAAAATGCCAAAAATGCTTAGAGCCGACACTCTTCATTAAGAGTCAGGGAGGGGCTTACCCCTGAGAGGGAGATGTTTACAAAAAAATAAAGAGATTCCATCTAAACCACTCCTTTAGTTCTTCACATCAATTGTTCTATCCAAAATAATACTTGCAAAGTATTTCATTCTGATTCTAATTAGATTCATCAAAGTGCATGGACTTCTTGTGGTTTAGGTTAAGGTTTGGGTTTGCATTTATCCTGATGCTGCCACAGCTATAAACTTACTTGGTTGACTAACTGGTGTTGCTGAATGGTCCTTTTTCCTTTAAACTCGTTGGATTCTATATGGATCTCATACATGGCCCCACAGCCACCTAAACACCAGCAGGAAGACAAAAACAAGAGTCGTATGTAAAAAGAGAGGAATTGTCTTGTATTAAACAAATAATTACCTGTCATAAAACATTAAGGTATAATCTGACAATGACAAATAGGCCAATTTTCATACAAAAATATTATCTCATCAGTTTTCATGTTTATAAGCAACTTGGGCTGCTTTTTATTTAGATTCAAAACAGCTTTGGTTTCACTCTAAAGCTCTGAGATGGCGAGCGGAACCAAAAGGCTGTGGGGTTAAAACTTTTTTGATGCTTTGGGCTTTATATACACACCTCTCACATGCACACATAGTCTGATCAAGCAGAGATTAACAGGATATTTAGAGATATTTTCACTTTGTTTGTCTAATTTGTACCTTTCTATTCCTTTATGGTATTCAGAGTATATGCAACATTGTAAGTTAGTAAGCTCTGCATGGTCATATCAATAGATCTGATCAAACTGGGTGGATTGAATTAAGTTTGTTTTAAATTGAAGAAAACATTATAAATTGCTACGGTTATGTGTCTTTCAATGTCCTGAACTGCAGCAGTGCAATCGTGGAAAATAAACATGTCTCAGCTAACAGGTATCGCATTATCTAATCATTAAAAATCTTATTCCTTATTTATAGAACTTTCAAATGAATATATCCTTCATAACATCATATTATTCCACATTTGAAAATGCTTCAGAAATCTGTACTGATATTCTTTGGTTTAACAGGATGTAAATTATATTTCAAAATATGTCTGTAATAGTTTTTTGTAAAATCGTTATAAATAATTTAAAACATGGCAATACGCCTGTGCTTTTTAAAATAACTTTTATAAGGATTTAAAATAATATGTTGTTTCAAACACACATTTTTTGGGATGCATATAGATAAATGTGGGGATAAACAGGCAGACATAAACAGACTGGTTGAAGATACATTTATAAGATAACGGATGAATGTGCACCTTTCTTATAAGAGGAAAAGTAATCTGACTGGAGCAACTTCATGGATTGCTGTGTCACGTCTGCTCGCTCGAGTGAGGCTTCACTTTTTCACAAACAAGATCACACTTGAGACAGTTTTGTTCACATCTCATGTTTATACTGTCTGATTTACAAGTTTGCACTTTGTGTTTAATGTGACAGAAAAAAAACAAAATACATGAGTATTTTGAAACATAGTTGAACCACTTTCATTATTGTAAAAACAGATTGAATCGAAATTAATCGATTTAGAACTGTATTAATCAAAATCTAATCGATTCAGGACTTTGGCTAAAACACCCAGCCCTACTACTTACTATTTTTTCATGTATTCATAATTTGACAACAAAAACACAGTGGTTAATTATACACTTTTTCAAAACTAGATTTTGTGTTATATGGGGTAAAGAGAAAATGATCTTTCTCTGCAAGTCATCTAGGAGTCTTCAGTGAAATCACAGATAAATAACATTTTAATAAAAATGTATTAAATAATCAATTTATGTAGATATTAGTACTTGTAAATATACATTTTATGCAGAATGATTATTGATAAAAGTAGGTAAGTAATGACAGTGGTAAAGATGTTTGCCCCAGAACTTACACCTGGAAGTATTTTATCCACTATATCTTTTATCTAGAAAGCTTGGATGGTTAAATATAAGCGTCTATTTGTTAGCAAAGGCTATATCTTTGGCCTGACCCTGAGGTTCTGGCGCCTATCCGCTTTCGGCCCCCCCTCAGTGTACATTGGTTATTGCCTGGCCACCCTTATAAAAAGTTTCTGGCTACGCCTCTGGAAATAAGGTATTTATTTCAACCCATATATTTTTTAAGTGTATAGATGCAGAAAACATTGATTTTCCTCACCTTCACAAGTGTCACCAGTGGAAGGATAGATGATCAGAGGACAGATTAGTCTAGCAGGTTATTTAACATGATGCAGTCAGTCTAAAGGGGGGTTTAGTCCTACCTGATATGTCCACTACTTTGAGCTTGGAGGCCAGAGGGAACTTCTGCTTCAGTATCCCAGCGATTCGCTCCTCGCCATCAGTTTGTGAGGAAAATCCTCTCTGCAGCTGACAGACAGCGGCTACCTGCGGAGGCACAGAGCAGGAGTTACAGCTAGAAGCAATAAGAGCAACAACTCCTCCAAATGTTTGGTACCGGGCTGCTCCGAAAGCCGCTGAATATAGTGCCGCTACAGAGACATTTCCAGGCCAACATGTTGGATAAAGAAGAGTCACTTTAGAGATGTTTAGATAACTATACAACAACCAGTCAGTAAGTCATGTCCCCCAAACAACCGTCCCAAGGAAATTACGTATTGTGTTATCTTCTTCTTTTCTATTATGGCGGATCGCAAGCAACTTTAAGGTGCATACCGCCACCTACTGTACGTGTGTGTAGCAACATTACCTTACACCAAATTCTATTTTTCAATTTTGTAAACTGTAGATTAATAAATAATTAAAATAAGAGAATGATAATAAACGGGCTGCTCAGTGACACAGTGGGTGGCACTGCTGCCTTGCAGAGGGTTGCAGGTTCGATTCCCGGCCCGGGGTCTTTCTACATGGAGTTTGCATGTTCTCCCTGAGCATGTGTGGGTTCTCTCCAGGTACTCTGGCTTCCTCCCACAGTGCAAAAAACATGACTGTTAGGTTAATTGGCTTCTCTAATTCTCCATAGGTGTGAGAGTATGTGTGAATGGTTGCCCTGCGATAGACTGGCGACCTGTCCAGGGTGTACCCTGCCTCTCACCTGTAGAAAGCTGGAGAAAGGCACCCGCACCCCTCGCGACCCCACTTGGGATAAAGCGTGTCAGAAAATGGAAAAAAATGGGTAGATAAATAAATAATGCTTTCCTTAATCTGTGAATATCCTTTAAATTTCTTTCATTTCCCAATATTCCTTTAAGACTCAATTCTTGGCCTTTCCTTCCAACCATCCTTCTTAATTTCTCCCTTTCATGTTCAGAAGTTTTACAGTTCTTCAGTACATGTTCCACATTTTCTTTTTCTCCACATCCTTAACTTTATCATTATTTTTCCTCCCTATTAAATATAAATTGTCATTTAAATAGGTATGACCCACTCTTAATCTGATTATTACTCCTTCGCTTCTGTTTCTCTCATTAATGATTCTATTTAATACTGATTTTTGTACCTTATATAATCATCTTCCTTTCTTATCTTCATTCCATCTCTTTTGCCATTTTTCCATTTCTTTACTCTTAATAAGCAATTTACCTCCCCCTTTCCCAAAAGGACTTGTAATTGTTATAGTTCCCTCTAAAGCCCTTTTTGCTAATATATCTTCTTTTTCATTGCCTTTTACAGCTTCATGCGCTGGGACCCATCATAACCAAATATCAATGCCACTCGTATATAATCTAAATAGACTGTGCTTGATTTCTAATACTAAATCTTTTCTATCATTTCCTTCTCCCTGAATAATCTATAAAACTACTTTGGAATCTGTACAGACCACCACCCTGTCTGGTCTAACCTCTTCTACCCATTGTAAACTTTGTATAATTTTCATAATTTCTGCTGTGATAACAGATAGTTGATCTAATATTCTTTTAGAAATGTATATTTTAAACTCTGGTATGTATATTCCTATTCCCACACGTCCTTTTAAATTCTTATAACCATCAGAATATATTTTAAGGTAGTTATAATATGAGTTTCTTTAATATATATCAGTCTTTATTCCTTTTTCATTTAAACTCCAATCATTTTTATTTTAAGCAGGCACATGTCTACATTTACCCCAAAGTGTGTGTTTGTGTGTGTTTGAAAAATGTACTGAATCAATCTCCCCTTGGTAAATGCTTCCCCTCTTCTCTGTCAGCTGATCTCTGATTGCTTTCAGCTGTCCTCACCAGCTGAGTTGATTCTTCTATATAAGATCAGAGAGGAATTTACCAAGCAATACACAGTATCTCACTGTGTGGTTTCAGATGAAGCTCCTCATGGGTGAATTGTTTGATCCCAAGATCAGAATGAGGTCTCTGGTGCTGTTGGTATCTTTCCTTTTTGGAGTCTTGGATGCCATAAGGACTTTAAAAGAAGGTCCAATGATTGATGCTGAAGGAAGGGAATACAAATCTGTCAATCTGGGAGATTACAGCAAACCAAAGCCCAGTGACAGACCCACAGTTCGTGTGCAGTGCACAGAAGTTTCCATGATAATTTTAATCCAGGCTGATTTTTACAACAATGGCCGCCTAGTTTCCCCAGAGGAGCTGTTTCTGGGAGATGCCAAGTACTGGAGGAACAAACGGTGCCAAGCTGTTGATGCTGGGGATGGAGAATATGTCATAGAGGCCGAACTGCATGACTGTGGCTCCAAGTTAACAGTAAGCTGCTCACTCATTTTGTTGTCCGCCCTATGTTGCTTTTGGTGTTGGTGAACTCTCTGTCATTAGATATCTCGAGATGACATGATCTACTCGAACAACCTGATGCTATCTCCACCTGTTGGTTCTCATGGCATTACAAGGATGACGGAAGCTGTGGTTCCCGTTTCTTGCCATTATAAAAGGTAGCCTGTCTTGGTACAAATAATAAAAAAAAAAATCCTGACTTTTTCTTTATGATACTGTAGCTTTTTGTTTTTTAGGACCCACACTGTAAGCAGCGCTTCACAGCAGCAGGCTCAAGCCTCCTCCGCTTCATTAAAGTTTCCTATGGGAAGCTCTCCTATTTCTCTGAAGCTGAAAACTGGTCTGTGTTGCCTTTTAATGTATTGTGTATTTAATAATTGCGTAAAATTTAATGTTTATTTTTTCTGCAAACAGATGACTGGTTAGGTGAGAAGCATACGAATGCCTTTTACCTCGGTGACCCAGTGCACCTCGAGGCCTCATACAGTGGTCCAGATCAAAGGAAACTATTCATCGACTTCTGTGTTGCGACTCTGACACCTGACTACACATCAGCACCCAGATACTATTTCATTGATAACCATGGGTAAAATCCAACCCAGTTTCTCAAGCTGCCTGGGATTAAATGTTGACCAAAATTTTAAAAAACATGATTTTATTTTCTCAGCTGCTTTGTTGATGCTAAAGATGGAGGTCTTAATTCAGTCTTTCAAGCCAGATCAAAGCCCAGTTTGCTTCGGCTCCAATTTGACGCTTTCTTGTTTAGAAATGATCCGAGGAACACTGTAAGGAACTAGCTAGTTTTACACTGACAACAATGTGGAATGACTGTTTTAGTTGACTTTTCCTCTCTGCCACAGATATTTATAACCTGTGAGGTTAAAGCTACAGGCCAGTTGTGGAAGAGCAGCCCAACAAACAAGATCTGCAATTACAGGCATTCGAGGTGGGTTTGGTTACATTTTCTGCTAACTTACAAAAAATGTAATGCGAATATTTAAATGCTCATCTTGTAAACATTCTAATAGAATTCACAACTCTACCGTTTACTTCAATATAGCTTAATTCCTGGCTGGTATGGCAACAGAAATTTCACACTGGTCTGACTAAAACTGGGGATAAAACCACAGATTAAAATTTTTGCCTAATCTACAAAGCCAGTCAACTCTGGATACTGATGGAGTCCGGTTATTCACACTTTCAAACTACCTCTGTAAATCTAAAGGTTTTGATGTGCCACAACTTTAAGGAAAAATCAATATTTCTCAAGGACTTGGACATGCTTGCTTTTGTCATTTAAACAAAGTGGCTGAGACTCTTTAGCCCCTTCTAGTCTTCTTTTAAGTTTGAGAATCATGACATATTTGAATTCCAGTGTGTTGCAGCAATGAAACCTGCATTCAATGGGTTTGTGGCAATCTAAAGGCACTGGCTTGCAGTTGGAGTTTGCCAGTATTATTAAATGATTAAATTTCCAGGTACTAAAACCAATATTGCTACTTTAATAAATTGTCATAAATGGCATTTTTTGTTTTTCAGCTGGAAGAACGTGGATGGTACTGATGATGTTTGTCAGTGTTGCCAAAGCACCTGCATTAGCCAAAGGTCTACAGGTAAGTGGATTGGTGAGGTCAACCAAATAATGTAATCTACTGAGTAGCGTGAGTGCGGTCATGTACTAAATATTTCTTGGACAATTTCCCAGGAATAATCTACATAGTGGGGACCAATGATTAGCCTTGGGGTGAGGGTTAAGATATGAAAAGTGGGGAATTAATAAAAAGTCTTTGTTAGGATAGTAGGACATGTCGGTTATTTTTTTGCCCCAACTGAACAGTAATTTTACCTGTTTTATCTTTCAGATGACCTTTGTGACACCTTGACTTTAGGCCCTTTGATAATAAATCCCAGGAGATTGGCAAAGGAAGAATCGTGAAACTATACTCTGAGCACCACATTTATCCTGGCATTGTAAAATGACAATGAAGGCAAAGCTATGAATTTATTGTGGAAATTGCTGAATGCCTATGAAATAAGTTCTGAGCCCATATCCCAAATAAACAGTTGTTGAAAGTCCAATCTGGTGTTCTTGCACTCTTTTTGGGAGGGGGATGATTGGTCATTCCATTTACAGCCTCCAGCAATGATATCTTACTTTGGTTGGCTTAAAAATACTCCACCACGGTTTCAGTTTTATTCAGCTAAAAGCAGGAGGTTCTGAAGGCCAATTGTTTTGAAAACTTCTAACTCTGGCTTTGTTTTCAAACTGGTCCAGTAAAGCAAGTATTAACAAAATGTGTTTTTTTTTTTCTTTTTTTTTTTTTTTTTTTTCTAGATGGTAGAACAGGATAAACTAGTCAATTTATTCCAGACTGAAAATCGCTAAGCTCAGTGAAGCAAAGTACTTAGAAAATGCCTGGTGGGGGGGCAGATACTCTAGAGAAGCTTTTCAGCATTGGTGGCAAATGTTGAGACTTGAAACTAATGGCATAACCATGCTGAGGGTAGCTTCATGCTTTTGTTCCCAGTGATGTAGAAGTTGGCCTTCATTTCGTATCTACAAAAACAGTCCAATTGATGGTAGCAAATGGGACAAATCTACACTGTTTCCAACTGACACTTTATGTAGGCTTTTGCAGATGTTTTGTGGATCTGACTTTAAACTAGCCTGAGGCTATATATTACAGCTAAACCATTAAATATTTTCTATTTTGTGTGTGATCAGACTATATTTTAGACAGGAAAGGAAGAAAAAAATCAAAAATGTCTTTGTATTTTCTTAAACCCCAGAACCACATTTTTCACCTTTTAAAGAGAAACGGACATGTTGGGTTTGATTGGGAAGCTTATCTCTCTCTGCAGCTTGTACCTTTTACAGTCCCAGGGGCAGAGGAGCAATCAGCAGTTATTGACACAGCCATCTTCCTTAAGTGCATGTGTGGGTACCATTTGTGTTCAAAGAATTATAGGCAGATCACAAAGCTAGACACCCCTCCCTGTCCAAAGTGCTGGCGTCAGAAACCTTTAAAGGCACAAATTTGCAACAGAAGCAGGTCAGTGCCCAGAGATGGAGAAAGTAATTTTGCTCTCAAGCACTTTGATGGTTTTCCTCATCTCCAGCTGTTGCGCTGAGGAAGAGTTTATAGTCTGCTCTAATTACCAGAAAGCATTTGAAGGAGCTTGCTATGAGTTTGTAGGTCTGCAGTTTTCCTTCCTCAGAGCTGAAGCGTGGTGTGAGAGAGGTGGGGGACACCTGGTTTTTATCTTGAATGATGAAACACAGCAGTTCCTTCAAACATACCTGGAGCCTGATAAGGACTGGTGGCTTGGGCTGGCACCTGCAGCGCCAAACCTCACTCAGGATTCCTCTCCCACTGAAGGTGAGCTGATGGAGCTCTAAGAAGATATTTCAATAATTTACAATAAATTTATGATTATGGGACGGCTAGTAAACATTTTAAGTCAACTGAAAATTTATGTCAAAAAAATTGCATTTCAATAGTTTGCAGTTTGTGCTTTTGTTTAAACACAAAAGCGAAAAATCTGAGATATCCTAGAGTAAAATATGACCTCAGAAGGCAGCGTGTGCTGCGTGTTGGTATGGTTTATTATAAAATGGATGTGGAGGGATGAGCACAGGTGAACAGGAAGGTAAATCTTGATTTATTGAAGTCCATACCATTCCAATTTCCAGCGTTCCTTTAAGTGTTTAACTTTTACTGACCCAAAACGCTCAACTTCTTTCTTTTCTTTCTGAATGTATTTCACAGATTTCCATAAGCTATCATAAAAGGTTCAGATCAAATTATGTTTTGTTTTACTTTTTGGTTAATAGGTTCTCTTGCATGGTTGGACAGTTCAGATGTCAGCTACAGTAACTGGGTAAACCCACCTGATGTCCAAGCAGCTTGTGGACACATTCTGGGACACACAGGCTTCCAGTGGACGGCCACAGAAAACTGCACCCAGGAACTCAACTTTGTCTGCCAGTTTGGTATGTTCCCTCTAGATACACTGTACTGCTATGATTCAGTTTTAAATTTATTTCCTATCCATCCTTTTTTCAGGCTTCAATCAAACAAAATTACCTTTATAAAAGTAAAGTGAAGAAAATTATTGCAACACTATCCAGTTGTATTTGTTTTCTACCAGGCTAAAGAAGTTAATTTCCCAGCTACTTTCTGAAATGCACTTGCACCCCTGGTACCAAGCAGACCCAGGAAGATGCTGCCTCCACCATGCATAAGCTTTATTGGGTTTAGCCTTGGATTTTTGTATCTGCATATGGCTCTGTAATATTAATATATAACATGTACTATAATTGTCTTTGTAAAGAGCCTTGAGATGACGTGTTGTGAGTTGGCGCTATATAAATAAACTGAATTGAAATCTAAATAATACCTATATCAATTATAATATTGCGTATTTACTCTACTTTGGAAATAACAGTTTAGATGATCAATTAAAAACCCAGTAAAACAATATTGTCCATAATGACCACAAGGGAGCTTATCAGGATCTATATTTGTCTGTTTTTATTCTTATTTTTTTATAATACATTGTCTTTGCAGATATTGGAAGAACAGTTGCATGTGAAGGTCAAAATGCCAAATTGCAATGCGGTTCTGGTCAGGTTTTGGAGATTGAAGATGCCTTCTACGGACGGAAAACTATTCATTATTGCCGATCCCACTTCACTACTTTACCCACATTTTCCCAGGAGGAATGCAGCTGGATTAATGCTTTGGATTCTGTAACAGGTACAACAGATCATCTTTAGTTGCATTAAACTAAGATAGAAAATGGGACATACGAAATTTAAATATATGTATTGGAGGTTACAATTTGTGTAGACTAGTAGCACTGATTTGCCCCTAAGCAAAATTGCATTTTGTATTTAAAAAGTTGTTGAAAAAATAAAAATGGTTAAACAAACAAAAATTACTAATAAAGAATTCTAATCAATAAAACAAAACTCTAGATAAATGTTTTGTCAGAGGAGCTATGTAGGTTGTCTAAGGGTGTGCATGCTTTCATAATCTCATTAGTCTCACTAAAGAGATTTATCATAAACAGCTGGTAAACCAGTTCTATCATAAAAAAAAAAAAACAATGAATAGATTAAGTATTAAAGTCATTCTTTTTGACACAAGTGTTTTTTTTTTCTCCTCCATTCTCGGTTTATTGCTGTTTTCTTCTCAGCTCATTGTCGTGGACTGCAGGCCTGTCAGGTTCCATTGGATCTGAACTCCTTCACTGAACCCTGCCCAGTGTTGGGAAGTTATCTATCGGTGGAGTACCACTGCAAAGACGGTCAGATACAAAATATGCTCTTCCACTAATATTAACAGGTTACACATTCTATAGTGTCTATCTTAATGCTTTACAGTGATTATTTATGCAAAGACAATCTGTTTTTTCAAACGAGACTGCTTAAACTGGAGTTTAATTCTTATAGCTGGAACAGTTTCACTCTGCTTCCTCTGAGCTTCTTCATATCAAAGGCAATAGGGAATAAAGATTACTTGTAAAACATTCAATTCACATGAAGATTAGTCTCTAAATAACTTAGCATAGTTACAGACAGCTGGTTTTGGTTGCTTGCAGGAAACTGAGAATTGGTTTGGAACTGAGAAGGCACAGGGCAGGGCGGTATGTTATTTTAAGCACCCCCAGTGGAGAGTGGGTTTCTTTTAGCTTCTTTCACTCATCATCCAAACTATCTGTTCTGCCTAAAAGGTCCAAAAGCATTTTGGTCCTCAAAAGAGTCTCCCAGAATCAGCATGTCAGCCTCTCTTTAGATTAATGATTGGGCAGAAAACTGCCATTGGTGCACCACTACTAAATACATGACCTAATTTGCTGGTACCTTTGGGATCATTTTTTATGCAGAAAATCAGAGCATTAATACAATAAATAAATAAAAATAGCCTAAGACCTGCATTATGTATTATACCTATATGTAGTTTTTTTTAGGCAAAGGTTTTAGAGGACTTTTTTTTGAGAGGCCCGATGAGCCACTTGCGGCTTCAGAGCCACAGGCTTCAGACCTCTGTCTTACAGGTATAGTGGAGGATGTTCTTTTTCTGGGTGGATCTTCACAATAAGTGGTCCTCCTAATTGTAAATCCTTCTGGTGATATGTTTACGTAAAGCCGTCCTACGTGCTTGTCCCCTTTTTTACTTATGGTTGGTGAGTCTGACATATTGGAAAAATTGAAAAATTCTTTTGGAAAGTAAGCTTGTATGAGCATTGCAAACAGCAACTTTTTTTTTCAATTCATTTTTATTTGGTAAAGGCATAAACCATTTCTTTACAGAATTTCATAAATTGTTTAAATTTTCCCAAAGGTGTTGATTTATAAATACAAACAAAACAAATTACAGAAACAGCAACTTTTAAACAGAGCGTGCACGAGGAGAAATGGGCTTGTGCATTCTCTTGCACGCTTTTAATAGGTGTTCCCTCTCGGGAGCGGATACAAGGTTGTACATGTGCATTTTTTTAAAGTGGAAAGGAAGCATAAATAGAATTTTCTAAAAAATGAAACTATACATTTAAGGTGTAGAGTGTAGACTACATAGAAACCATGCCTGGATTCTTTCCTCCCACTCACTTCAGAAGAAACTCTTTGCATGGAGAGAAACATATCTTCAAGTAAAGAATTAAAGTTGTATTGTGTTTTAAAACTATTTTCTATTTTTCATCTCCTTCATGGGTGAGAACCTTCACCAAAAAAGAGCATCTTCTCATTTTGCATGTGTTAACTATGTTTGTGAATTATTATTCATTTTTTTGTTGTTAAACCGTTCCAGGACTTTCCTTGCAGATCATTAACCTGGCTTCTGTTGTCGATAATGTTTCCATCACTGTAAAATGGCTCCTTCATCCCTTTCATGGAAACTTAACTTGCACCGTGGATACTGGAGATGGCCACATCATTGATCCATATAATCCAGAAGAGTAAGTAGTATTGTTTAAATAGATACTTTATACCATAGTTATCTTTCTTTAAGTTTATATCTGTTGATCCCATTCTTATAAGTGAAATTTTCTTTTGATGCTGGGCAAAAATCATTTATTCATTTTAAAAAGGATTAATTTTCATTATTTTAATAAGAATAATAATTGAACTTTGTTCATCTCCCAATGGAGATTTAACCCATCTTCTTGGGGAGCAGTGGGCTGCGATTGTGCGGTGCCCGGGGAGCAGTGTGGGGTTAAGGGTCTTGCTCAGAGACCCAGAGGGCAGGCTGTCGGGATCGAACTGGGTACTTGTGACCTTCTCAGAGCATTAGCGCACTGCTATAACCACTAGGCCAACACTCCCCCAGTTATTTTACAACGACTGTTAACATAGCACTAATTGGTAAAGTATTTTTGTAACATTAAACAAATTTGCTCAATTTAAAGATTAAATTTTTTTTAAATAGAATTAAGGCATTTCTACCAGTTGGATTGAACATCCATTTGGCCTTAACTAAATCAAACTTTAGTCTTTATTTTGGGTCACAGGATGGAGTCTGCAATCATACACAGATTTCGCAAGCCTGGTGTTTTCATAGTTGAGGTTGAATGCAGCACCAGTGACTGGCACGTCACTGCTCAGAAAACTATAATAATCCAGGAGCCTGTTGGTGAGTTGAGAGTGGTGAAGTGTTATGGCAACAATGTGACAACAGATGGCACCAAATGCAACACCCTCTATGGGGGGCCTGTTCAGATACAACTTGGACTGGAAACAGGTGAGTTTTTTTTCCCCAGTTCTGCAGCATATTATATTAGACATGTCTTGAAAAGTAACCTACGACTTCTCCTTTTTAATAAATTGGTAGTATCTAAACAAAAAGACTTACCTTACTTTTTTTAGATCTACATTCAAAATGACTAGTTTCTTAAGGCATTGCATTTTTTTCTCCTCTTTTTTTTCTTCTAAAAGGGACAAATGTTACATACTCAGTTCTTCTTAATAGCAATCAGATTGCAAACTCTTTTGTGGACTCGGGGAACCAACCTCACAACATCACACTGAATCAGACTGTGGTTCAAAGTCTTAAACCTGGCTGCAAGAATTTAACCATATCTGCATCTAATGGGGTCACACCCCACCCAGTGTCCACTGACCTGCTGCTGTGCCTCCTGGAACCTGTTGTCGGCCTGCAGGCCAATATAATGACAGAAAAGGATGAATGTCCAGACTCTCCTGATCTCACCATTGCTGTCTCATTGAAGCAAGGGTCCCCAGTGGAGCTTTATTTTAACTTCACTGGGTTAAGAGACGTGCTGACTGAAACCAGAAACATGATTAATAATAGCCTGCATACTCACGTGTTCTCCCACCCACTGGAAGGTAGGATTTAAAATTATTTTCATAAAAAAAAAACAGATCTTGGAAATAATTGAGCTTAATTATATATTTTTTTCTATAAACAGGGCTTTTGAAAGTGAAAGTCCAAGCTGTGAATGTCTTTTCAAGCTCTCAGCTGGAAATTGACTTAATGAAAATACTGCAGGCTTGCCAGAATTACTCCTCGACAAGTGAAAATGAAAACACGGTATGTTGAAATAGTAAACACGACTCACTATATATACTGTATGTGTGTGTATGTATGTGTGTGTGTGTGTGTGTATATATATATATATATATATATATATATATATATATATATATATATATATATATATATATATATATATAATTTTTTTTTTCTTGTTACCACCAAACTATCTTATTTGCAGGAGGATAACTATGAAATATCAGGCGGCTTGGAAATAACAGCTTCTCCTGACCAGTTCGTTGACCACAGTCAGAGTGTTGAGCTGAATGTAGCCGGTGCTGAATTTCGGGACAGCAAAAGATTCATATTTGAGTGGCAATGCAGTAAGTTATACAGCCATTCACCACGGTTAAAGCCAGCAGTTAGTCATTTATTTACCATGTAGTATTAAGGTTGAAGTTGTAGGTTTGGTCTTATTTCCACCATTGTTTAAATTCAAATGAAAGAAAATCATTTCTACAGCTCACATGCCTGAAAAGTAAGGGATTTAACTCGACTGTTTCTTCTTTAACATTGCTAGAGGGTGATCAGCAAATGGGCGCACTATTTACATGCCATGTCATACATGTCTGTTTCTATCTAAGCACCTCAGAAAGCATATTGTTGTTCTTCCAAAACCATAATAAGGGCTTTCTGTGTGCAGGTATTTCAAGGCAGGACATAATGTCTGTTTTGCTTTTTTAATATAGATAATGCAAAGGTTGGAGTTGTTTCTGGGTCAAAATACTTAGTTTTATTTGTCTGTGTTGGGGCATTTTTTCCTTTATTTGACAATAACACTGTAACTTGTTTTTGTTCCAGATGGACACTGCTCATGCAGAAATACAACAAGGGAAGAAACTCATGTGATTGAAAAAGATTGTCTTCCTAATCCATTTGAAATATTTGAATACAGTTTGACTATGAGGAAAAGAACATGGTTTAGGAAGTGGGTGGAGCTTGCCCGAGCCTCTAAATGCATTACAGTTACCCCTCTAAAGGAATTACAGGACATCACAATCAGGTAAAACGTTTTAAATAAATTTTTAGCTTCTATATATGACATGCACAACATTCTGTATCAAGAATATATATATATATATATATATTTTTTTTTTTTCAACAGGTTCCATGTCCAATTTAGGGGCAATGAACCCTCATGATTGTGTCTTTGCTCTTTTTTGCTCCATTTGTGGTTTGCTATGTTGTAAATAGTTTCACTGTTGGTCTTTGCAGGTGTAACAACTGTGATTCCTTAAATGTGAATGAAAGTGCAAAGCTAAGTCTCAGCTGTGCAACAACTTGCCCAGATGTAGTTTGGCAAATAGAAGATCCAAAACCTATGATGGCAAGTTTGATTTAATCCTTACAAAATTAAACATCTTTTTTTTTTTTTACTAAGGACTACTTACTTTTTTGTCCCTCAGGAGGATCTCAATGAATGTTACTCAAAAGCAGGAAGAAGTCCTCCTACAAATATACAACATGGTGACACTGAATACACAGTCCCCAGTCAATATCTAAGAGATTCAAGGAGCGTCCAGCATAACATCGTTGTGATTGCTTATGGTACTTTCTCTTTATTTCACAGCATGTGATTGTATATTAAATCAACTGTACCCTATGTGAATGGGACTTAATCTGTTTTTAATTACTGTAGGCAAGAAGGTCCCTGGGTTTGTCAAATACAGTATTCCAATCCCAGCTGCACCTGCTGTACCTACATGCAGCATCTCTCCACAGTCAGGAAATGTGCTTGATGCTTTTGAAATTACCTGTGAGTTGACGTCTTTCTGCTCCACAGGCTGTCTTTATTGCCTCAAGACCGACACAGGTAACGGTTTGATGCTAAAAAAGTTGCAACATTCTTAAAGAATATGTTGATAAATTAACTGATATGCATAATAATGGAAATTATCAAATGAAAATAAAAAATATGATAAACTAAAATATTTAATGGAAGATATATATATATATATATATATATATATATATATATATATATATATATATATATATATATATATATATATATATATATATATATATAATGTTTAAAAGGCAGTCATTTGATGTATGGGTCATTTATGTGTGGCTACCCTACTTTATTTCTGAAGGAACCTGAACAAACTCGTGGTTGTAGGGTAGTAGTTGGAGAGAATGTTGCCAAATGGCTCAGGATGGTGGAGAACAAAATGACTGAGAAGGTTAAAGAGTACAAATTGAGGTCAGAGGACAAAGTAGTGGAAGCTAAAAATGGAAGAATATTGCATGGCTTTCAGGGAGGAGTTGAAAGAAGCTCTAGGTGGTGAGGAGGATCTTCCAGAAGACTGGAGAACTACAGATGAGGAAATAGGGAAGAACATAATGAAAGCACTCAGTATTTCTATTGAAAGGAAAGTTGAGAACAAGACTTACTGATGCAACGAGGAAGTACAGGAGTGTGTTCAGACAAATAGATGAGGTAAGAAGTGAGAAAGTTGCCTGAGTTATGACATTAGCCTTGTAGCTATTGAGGCATAGCTACAAGGTAATACAGTTATTTGTTTGATAGGCTAGACAGTAAGGAGGGAGAAAAACACATATAGACTGTTAAGGCAGAGATGGAAAGGATGTTAGACAGGTTTGTGAAAGGAAGATGGAAGTGCTGTGAAGAGTTGAATGAGGAAAATGAGAGGGGGGAAAAAGGAGCAGAAAAAGTAACCATCAGAGATCAGGAGGTAAAAAAAATTAGAAAGGATGAAGAAACAAAGTTATAAAAATGGATGGAGAGTTGAAAGGCAGTTGGTCCAGATGACATCCCTGTGGAGGTATGGAAGTGTGTAGGACAGACGGCAGTAGAGTTTTTGACTAGATGCCTAAGGGATGGATGGGCAGTGCACTGGTACAAATCATCAAAAAGGAGAGGTGCAGAGTTATGGAATGGATCTGTGATACTGTATGAGGAAGTCTGGAATTGTAGAGAAGATTATTGGTGGTTCAAGACAGCTGTGAGATAGTGGCGAGTTTTACTGTAGGTATAAAAGAGAAGTTTAAGGTGGAAGTGGAGCTGCATCAGAGATCGGCTGTCTCTTGTTTGTTGTGTTGGACAGTTTGACAGATGATGTTAGACTTAAATCTTCATGGACCATGATTTTTGCAGATGACTTTGTGATCTGCAGTGCAAGCATAGGACTGGTGACAGGAAAGTGTAGAGAGTTGGAGATTTGCCCTGGAATGAAGTGGAATGAATGTTAGCCATACCAAGACAGAATACATGAGTGAATGATGAGGGCCGAAGAGGGCCCATGAAGCCTCAGGGATCTGACATAAAGTAGGTAGAGGGTTTTTAAGTGCTTTGGGTCAAGAGCAACAGCGGAAAAGCAGGTTGGAATGGATGGAGAAAGGTATCAGAAGTTTTGTGTGATAAGCGACTGAAAGTAAGGATGCACAAGATGGTAATGAGATCAACAATTTTTATGGTTTAGACACGGTTGCACTGATAAGATACGTGGTGGAGCTGGAGAGAGCAGAGAGGAAAAGTTTGAAGTGTTATTTAGGAATGACAAGTCTGAAAAGTATCAGGGATAAGCACATCAGAAGGTCAATGTCATGTTAGATTTTTTTGGATATAAGGCCAGACTGAGAGCATTTTAACATTTTCAAAGGAGTGATGGTGAATAAATCCTTTGGATATTGAAGCTGGTACAGCAAGGGTGGAGGCCAAGAGGAAAACCAAGATCTATGGATGGAATAAAAAAAAAAAACATGAAAGAAGTTGGTGTTACAGAAAAAGATGCGAATGAAAGTTAGATGGAGGCAGATGATTAGCTGTGCCCCCGTGAAAGGGAAAATAGGAAACACGAAGATGTTTTACTAGCATAATATTATATTTTTACAATTATTTGTACGATTTCTTAGTTGACTGAGAAAAAAACTACACAACATTATGATGAATATTATAGTTTTGCCAGCTTATTCAAGAGGACCAATAATTCAACAAAGCTGAAGCGGATTTCTTTATCTCTAAGGCAAACATCTCCGTTGCAGTAATACAAATGCAGTGAAATCAATCTTCCTGCCTTTGGGAGATGAGAAGAACAATCACATTGTTACTGTGGTTGTGACAGTGAAGAATAAACACACAACAGCGACTACAACTGTTGCAACTCAGGTTTGTAGTTTTACAGCAAATATGGTATATCGCAATCCTAGAAATCCCAGCCCTGGATTAATGGAATAAACCGATTATGATCCTCAAGGTAATGAAAAGCAACTCCAGTGCCTCCATACTATCTCTTCAGTCTGCCGTCAAAGACACTGTAGATCAACTGGAACAGCAAGGCCTGCTTTCTGGTGAGGCACTTGGACAAATATTCAGTTCCGTTTCGGACGTGCTGAATTCAGAGGATGACCGAGGTCAGAAGGACGCAAAAACAAAGGTATGAAATTGAGGCAGCAGCTACAGTACAACACAGAATCAGAGTTCGTGAAATATTGTTGGTATCTCTTTCTTTTACCATTTCAGCTCCGGGAACAGATGTTGACCAAAATGACAGAAGTTCTGCAGGACTGCCCAAGCAACACAACACAAGAAGTTCAAGTTTCAGCTGAAGCTGTGGCTGGACTAACGCAGATGTCAGATGAGCTCAGTCCTGTCGCTCAAGTACAGTAGACCACCTTCAACATTTACTGGTAGAAGTGAAAGCATTAAGCGAGCAACTCCACTGAAGTGAAATGTACTTCAGTCTGGGGTTTAGTGAGATGAAATCAGTAAAAGTTCAATTAAATATTAACACTTGTACAATGATCTCTATATACGTTTAATTCAGGTGGTATAAATCTGAACTAAACATAAAGGTTCATAATTGACTGATAAATGTGTTATTTTGAATTTAGCTTTACATCATGCATGCTTGTTTGTTTCATGCCCCTTCTTCAGGAGGAAGCTGGCTCATTGTTGGTGAACCTCAGCTCTTACCTTTGCACCATAACCATCCAACCGCATGAAAGAAGAGATGAAGATGTTGTGCAAGCAGCTACACCCATAGTTGAAGCAGCCAGTAATATTCTAAATGTTTCATCAAATGTATGGACAGAAGCTTCATAGATGCAGCTATAAGGTTTTCCTTGTTTATATTTGGTGTCTGACAAATGTGATTTTATTTTTATCCACAGAAAAAAGTCTCAGATTTCCTTCTGGTTGGGATTAACAATCTTCAGAGTGCTTTGTTGAATAATAAGAAGTTGAATGCAGAGCCTGCGGTCATTGATTCTGGTCAGATCAGTGTATATGTTAATAGGTAAATGACTAATGGGACTTGGCTGAGTTTACACTAAAAAAACAGAATTTATGCTTTTGCTAAACTTGAACTAATGTGTTTGCTGTAGAATATCCTCTGAAGACATAAAGGTGCATAACATAGATGTCCAGAAGGAAGGTTCCTCCAGCTTTTCCATTCCTTCACTCCCCATTGGCATTCTCTCTCCGATGGAGCCGGTGGATATCAGGGTTAGTTTGTTCTCAAAACACAAATAATTAAATTCCAGTGGCAAAGACGGTTACTGGGTCATCATCTTACAAAAAAATATATATTTTATAAGTAGAGCTATCCAAAACTATCAGTTTGTTTGCCTGTGTAAGCTTTGCTTAGTTTACTCTGAATATGTTTCAACACCTATCCTGGAGTCTTTGTCAATTATGTCGGCTCGGACCACATCAATCTGTGGTTACCATTGAATTTCAAACCAAACACACCCAGACCAAAGCTGAGTGGTGGTGTTTATGCGGCCCAGTGAACAGAGGACCGTTTGGAGTCCTATATCAGAGAAGCCAAACGACTACACAAATACCCTGCCCTGTGCAAGATTCAGCTGTTAACTTGCGCCTTAAGAGCATACGACCCACGTTTGATGATCAAAATGTTCTTTTAAAGGGAGGTGAATGAAGCTATGACCTTTGTGAAAAGATTTTAAAAATCACTGAACAGAGGGAATGATTGTGGTTTCAACTTCTAAACATATCAGTCATGGAACTCATTCCAAAGAATTACATCGGCACCATCATCTTGAATTTAAAAGGCCTAACACTTCAACAACCCAGGGGGACGATATGTTGGTCATTGATTTGCATCTGACTTGCAATGTACTTAAGAGGATTGGCTGCCATGCAGCTTTAAAATTTTACTTCTCCAACATCGATTGATCTGGTGCGTGCAAGCACAATTGAAAAAGACTCCTGGATCTTTAAACTTTATTGATCTCACATTGGAGAAATTTACCTCTGCATTTAACCCATCCCCTTGGGGAGCATTGGGCTGCCATCGTGTGGAGCCCGAGTAGCAGTGAAAAAAAATGCAAAAACAAAGATTTTTTTCCATGTCTTGCGGTTCAAATACCATTTTTAACCCATCACCCCACTAACTGACCCCTTTTAAACAGACATTTACTTGAAAGCTTAAATCTTTCATATTTATCATTAAACCATAAAATTTTCTCAACCCACAGGATGGAACAGCGAGGTCCATTTATATACATTTTACTTAAAAGACTTTTAAGTAGGAGAAGAAAAAAAATTTTTTTCGCCCAATGCCTTTAGATTCGTGAAGACCCCCAGAGGAACATTTGTCAATAATAATTTACTATTTTTGGACTTTGAGACAAGAGGATTCCCAAAGAGCTTTTAGATGAAAACGTACCTAACAATAGAAAATGCACCAAAGGATAAAGCATCTTGTAAGTCCTTGTTAGCCATATTCCTGGATGCTCTACTGATAGTTTAGATAGGTGTTTTAGGCTTGATCTTTGTTGTACCATATTTTCCTATCATTTTGTACATTGTACTGTCATGGTCAGACAGACTGGGCTGAAAAGTGCCAGTCCACTAAACTCTAAAGGAGAACCTTTAGAAAGTCTTGATAAATAATACATGATCTAACTACCTGAAAGCCAAGTATAACAATGGCAGATACAGTTTTATAAAACAGAAGAAAAGAAGCAGCAAATGTATACGTGTTAACTAGCTCCACATGTGGCCCAGTCCAGGAAAGACACATCTATTTAGCACTGAGCCAGTCCTTATGTCAGGGGACGAAAGAGAGCACATAGTTAGTCACAGTATGGAGGACCATGTCTTGCAAGTCAATGACTGGATGCAATCAACAGGTTTTCCTTGACAGAAACTTGTAACCAATCTGACTGTATTGTCCCTGTAAAGTGCCTGGGAGTGATATCTGTTGTGAATCGGCACTTTATAAACGGAATTTAATTATTACTCTTGCATAATTAGAACCATACAGGAAAATTATATAGAGGCAACCTATCGTTTTGTATTTGCATGCATTTACCTTTAAGTTGATTTAAAGGGTTGTTTTATTTGCATATAAACACAGGCTTGTAAACTACTTCCAAAGTAATGAGTGTAAATAAAGTGTGACAATTAATTTCTTTTGTTTCATCCGTCTGTCTAGATGATGAGTTTTGAGAAGAATCCATATGCCTGGAAAGAGGATAACATCACAGGAACTGTGGCCTCTCTGTCTTTCACCAGAATGAATGGCACAGTCATTCCTGTAGAAAACCTACCTAAGGAAATAGAGGTCACATCACAAACCTTTTAATATCTTCACAGTAAATTAATCTGTAAAACATTCAGGGGATGTCTGGTTTTTATTTTGTGGATTTTCAGATTCTTCTTCCCAGGCTCAATGTTGGGCAGCAGAACAGCACAGTCCTTGACCTCGCAAATTTCAGCACATTAGTGATTGACATACCGTCACCAGAGGTGACCCTAGTGCTGAAAATGGAGCCTTCTGAAGACATATCCTTCATGGTGTTCCTTGGATATAAAGATTATCCGAGCGATAAGAGTCATGTGGCCAAGACCAAGCTCCCGCTAGAGAAAACAAGTGAAGGTACTAAAGCCTTCTGTTGGTGATAAAATGAACCTCTTTTACAGTCCTTAACAAAGTCAAATCTTCAAAAACACAAAACATAAGTACTCAGAGCCAAGACCACATAATCTACTGAACTCAAACTAGATACAGAAGTAAAATCTTGTCTTCCTTGAACCATGATCCTGAAATCTAGATGGGTGAAAACCTGCATTTATATCACTGGTCATTGTTTTCTAGCAACTCTTTCTATATGGTCAGCTAGGATAATATTGTCTGTCATTCTATTACAGAGGAAAAATTTACTTGGGTGCTAAGTCCCAAAGATCGAACAGGAGGAGCTGGAGCTCATTACCTTCTTGTAAAGCCAATTGTTGAGCCAGGTGTCAAGTCAGTCAACGCCACAGTTGCTGTCACTTCTATTGCTGCTCAGTGCAAATACTGGAATGAAACCAGGTCTTCATGGAGTGAAGATGGCTGCAGGGTGCGCAGAAAAAACACAGCTCACATGGACAATGACTGCATTATACATAAACTGAAACCTCGTGTTTGTTTCTGCAGGTTGGCCCCCTAACCACACCTTTGGTCACTCAATGCCTCTGTAACCACTTAACGTTCTTCGGCAGCTCCTTCTTTGTTATGCCCAACATGGTGGATGTCTCTCGCACTGCTGAACTCTTTGCAACATTTGCTAACAATCCGGTGGTGGTGTGCTTTGTGGGATCGGTTTTTGTTGCTTATCTGCTGGCGGTGGTATGGGCACGCAGAAAAGACATTCAGGACTCCACCAAGGTTATTCTCGTTAGAATTTTCTGATCTCAATGTTTATTTTCACCACATCGACAAAGCTGCTAGATTTTATTCGGTTCTCACTTTCAGGTTAAGATAACGGTTCTTGAGGACAATGACCCTCTGGCTGAATATCGCTACATGCTAACTGTTAATACAGGCCACCGTCATGGTGCAGCCACTTCCTCTCAGGTGAATCACAGCACCACTGAATAGCTATTTTAATAAACCTCACCCACCCTGACTGACCTCTCTTTTAGGTTACCATAACTCTGCTGGGAACAGAGGGAGAAAGTGAACCCCACCATCTGACAGACCCCGAAAAGTCTGTCTTTGAGAGAGGAGGGGTGGACTTGTTTCTCCTTACCACACACTTTTCTCTTGGAGATCTGCAGAGCATAAGACTCTGGCACGACAACTCAGGAGATCACCCTGCATGGTTAGAGGAGAAAATACTGACGGCTGCTGTAGTTGATTAAAATAAGACATTATCATTAACTTTTTTCATTTTGATATACAGGTATGTGAATAAAGTGATGGTGCAGGATCTAGAAACTGGTCAGAAATGGCACTTTCTGTGTAACTCCTGGCTTGCTGTAGATATGGCTGAGTGCTGCCTTGACAAGGTCTTTCCTGTGGCTACAGAGTCAGATTTAAAGAGATTTAGGTAAGACCTGCTTTAATGTAGGGACATTTCACAACATAATTTAAGCTGCTGTAATTTCTATCAATTGTGTTTCCTTTTCAGTAACTTGTTTTTTATGAAGACTGCCAAGGATTTTCAAGATGGTCACATCTGGTTCTCGGTCATTAGCCGACCTCCCTGCAGCACTTTCACACGTGTGCAGCGAGTGTCCTGCTGTTTCTCCCTTTTGCTTTGCACCATGCTGACAAGCATTATGTTTTGGGGCATCCCTACAGACCCGTCTGAGCAAACCATGGATTTAGGTATGCTACATATGTATGGGCAATCCTTAATGATAGTAAAGATTTATACTTGAGATTTTTATACTGTCCCAAAATACAAGTCTTAAAAGTTATGTGTATTTGTTGTAACTATGGGCCCCCTGTTTAGTTCTGATAATTTCTCTTCTTGTCCAGCTTGTCAGTTTAGGTCGATGGCCTTGTATTGGTTGGTTTGCTGCGGTGTTACACTTTTTTTTATTTTTAAATGATGGATTTAACAGTACTCTGTAAGGACCCTAAAACTCTGACCCAGACCTGTTTTAGAGGGCTCCTTGGTCTTCACAGTATAGTTTGCTCTCTATTTTCTAATAAACCTCTGAGGTCTCCAGAGAATAGTTGGATTTATACTAAGATCAACTGACTACACAATTTTTGCAGATTGAAATTAGCTAAATTCATCATAACTTTTAAATTTTTCTTCCTTCCAATTAAAACCCTCCTGTCCTTTTTCTACCACTTTATATGTTTACAGTATATTGTGGTGTTCTATCATATCAAATTACAATAAAATACATAGGAGTTTGTGGTTATTTGGAAAAATGTAAAAATATATTCAAAAGTTATATTTTCATAATCTTTTTCTTTTTGTTACTGACATTATGACTATCATCCCCACCATTTCTGGATACTTTCTTCCCTTTTTGTCTCTTCATGAGTATTACTGCATGCACTGTTTGATTGCTAAGCTGCATGTGGCATTTTGTTTTTTATATAAGAATACTCAGTCATGCGAAAGGAAGAAGACAAATTTTCTCCATTTTACATGCAACCGAGATCCACCATGATGTTTAATATGACTCATTAAAAAAAGTTCCTAAAGTCCAACTAAAAAGTCTGTCTCTATTGCAGGAAATAAGAGAAAATGTTAAAACAAGCTTTACATTGCAGGCCACATCGAGTTTACCTGGCAGCAGGTCATGGTTGGAATTCAAAGTTCCATCATCATGTTCCCCATCAATCTCCTTATTGTCAGCATCTTCAGAAACACTCGTCCAAAAGAGAGAAGTGCCAAAGCAGATGGGTCAAAACAAGGAAACACTGTTAGAGTTTCTCCCTCACAGACTTCATCTCCTCAAACAGAGATAAAGCATATCACTCCAGACACTGTGATCAAGGTGAAGTGACACAAATCGTACGAGTTGCATGTGTTTTTTTCCCTGTTTAAATAGCTCAACAGGTTTTTTGCCATAGGACATAAAGAGAATAACGCAGTCGCTCTCAAAGACCATGAAGAGCCCATTGCCAAATTTTGATCTTGATCCAGGCCAGCATGTAGACATCAACATACTGCTGTCTCTGGTGGAGGATATCATCAAATGTCAGAACAATGCAACAGTAGACTTCTACTCCAGCAGTTTCAAGAAAGACAGCAACATGACTCTGAGTTTGGGTGCTGTCAATCTACAAGGTGAACTATGTTTTTCACAAAACTATTTCACAGTTGAATATTTAAAACTGGATTTGTTATCTTATATATTGTATTACGAATAGAAAACGGTTTGTGGGGAAGCCCGGAAAAGACATTCGACAAAACTCAAAAGAAGACAAACAGCAGTCGGTACCTGTACAAGCAACTGCATCATGTGGAAAAGGAGCTTCGTCTGTTGGGACCCTCTCAATTTCCAAACACCAGAAGCTACAACAGAGCCATGCAGCAAGTTCAGGGAATGAAGAGTTGCTTGGAGTCTCTGCTGGATGGAGACCAGCTGAACCGCAGCCCCAGTCCTGATGAAATTATTAGCAGTGGCCCTGGAAAGAAGTGCTGCCAGGGTGGCCTTCCATGGTGGTTTGTGTTTGTGGGGTGGATACTGGTGATTGCAACCAGTGCCGTGTCAGGATACTTTACTATGATGTATGGGCTGACCTATGGGAAGGACCAGTCTATAAACTGGCTTATCTCCATGGTGGTGTCCTTCTTTGAGAGTCTCTTTATCACCCAACCTCTGAAGGTAAGTGGCTGCATACAGGGCAGATTAAAGCAAAAGGTCTCGAAATCATTCCTAAACATTTAACTGATGTTTAACTGAATTTTCTGTTTACTGAATTAATGTCCAACATGTTTTTTTGTTTAATAAGTTGGCTGCTAAACAGAAAATAAAACATTTTATATTATCTTTCTATATTATTTTATATATCTAATAAAAGATTTCACATTGAATAGTTGTTTTTGTTTTTATAGAGTGCCATAAAGTTTGAAATTCTTTTGTTCCAGGTTCTTGGGTTTGCTGCTTTCTTTGCTCTTGTTCTAAAGAAAGTTGACCAGGAGGAGTTTGGAGAACCTCAGATTGCAGAGAAGCTCACACATGCAGGCAAATTGCTTAATTTATTTTTTAAAAATCTAAAAAGATCTAAAAAAAATCTTTTTTTTTCAAAGAAAATCAGAATATATTTGTCAGCTCTATGAAAATTCTCCCTCAGATGATCCTGATGTGGTGCTTGTAGCTAGAAGAGACAGCACATGCAGTTTCTACCAGCCACCGCCTCCTACAGACATCGAGAGGATGAGGAAAAATGTAATTAAAGAGCAGAAAGTCTTCTGCCTCATCAGGGAGATTCTTGGTAGAGTTTCATTGTTTGCAGCATTAATAACTATAATCATAAAATAATGTTAATACAGTTTGAATAACTGATGTAAATGTGTTTTGATGCAGCTTACATAGGATTCATGTGGGTCCTTCTTCTGGTTGCATACGGTCAGAGGGACCCTAATGCTTATTTTCTGAACCGACACATTCGACAAGGCTTCAGTAAAGGAATCTCCAACACCATGAGCATTCAGGACGTGTTCGACTGGGCAAACACAACTTTACTGAGAAACCTTTATGGAGATTACCCAGGTGACTATGCCAGGATGTCTGTCCTAAAAAATAAATCCTAGATTTTAATTTTATAGTAAGGAAAGAATATAATTGTTGTGTTCAGTTTTTCTATTTCATTAACTTACGGATATCCATCCATCAATTTTCTGACACGCTTAATCCCAAGTGGAGTTGCGAGGGGTGCTGGTGCCTATCTCCAGCTGTCTACGGCCAAGAGGCAGGGTAACTTACGGATATACAGAGTGATAATTTCTTTTAATTCATCTGAAGTAAATAAGACTAATCTTTTTAAATTCAATGTTTTATTACTTGGGATGCCTCGGTGTAGGATGCACCGAGGCATCCCAAGCCCCGCCCCGATGGGGGCAACAGCCTCTGGGGTCAGATCCACCAGGCACCCCACTCCGAGCACCCCCACAGCCCCAGGACCCAGGGACCCCCGAACCAGCCCCCGCGCCCTGCAGGACGCGTCCCACAGCCCCCCACTACACTAAATGTTGGAGCCGATTAAGGGAGCCCAGAGAGATCGGTCTGATGGGGATGCAGATGCCGTCTCAAGATTAATATGATCCGACAACAGATCTCTGTACTGACTGATGCTGAGTTTATCATTACTTTTCCAATTCATGAGGATAGTTTTCTTTGCGATACATAATGCAGTGAAGGCCATGCAAACTGATTTTTTTTCTAGAGAGCTTCCCTCAAAGTCACCCAGCAAGCAAATTGATGCGGAAGGTGAAATTTTGCAACCAAGGCACAGTGATAAGTCCTTACACACCTGTATCCAGAACCTCTGAACCGGCGTACATAACCATAATGCGTGAATATAATGAAGTTGATTGCCTGTGCACTGTGGACAGATAGTATACTGTGCAAAACCCATCCTGAATAATCTTTGACCTGTATAGTGCACTCTCTGGAGGATTTTGTATGGTATTAATTGTATATTTGGGTTTCTAGTCATGTTAAAATTTGTTAAACATATCTGAGCCCAGAGGTTTTGTTCAAAGCTGACTGATAAATCCTCCTCCCATTTCATAATAGGATAAGAGATAAGATAAGAGATATTGTATCATCCAGTTTATTTAGTGTCCTGTATAATTTAGACAGTAGTGGGGGGTGGGGGAGTTAATTCTAGGAACTGTGATATATTAGTTGGAATTTATAAACCTCCATTAATATGCTTAAATTTGTTTATAATTATAGATTTCATTTGTTCATATTCTAAGAATTTATTTTTGTTAATGCCATATTGCATATTTAATCTAGAAAATGTGATAAACTCCGTTCCATCAAATAAATGATCCAGATATGTAATACCTTTATTCTTCCAGTACAGAAAGTTGATCATATTATTGTTTTTTAGAATGTCAGGGTTATTCCAGATGGGTGTACGACTGCATGGGATAACTGATGACTTCGCCATTTTAAGAAATTCCTACCATGCTGTCTGAGAAGAGCTGATGTTAATATTTTTTAAACATAATATTAGAGCTAATAAACAGCAAATTATGATATTACTGCATAATTATTTATTTATTATTTCTTTAGTTTTCTGTAGTGTCTTTAAGCTGATTCGAGGGGGTTTATCCTTCCAAAGAAATTTATTGATGGAAGAATCTAGAGATTTAAACCAGTCGGATGATGGTTTATTGGGGATTATTGAAAATAAATAGTTAATTATAGGTAAGACCCTCATTTTAATTGAGGCTACCCTACCCAATTATGCATTTAACAGCAGCTTGGACAGGGCCATTTTTATGAGGTTTCACCTTGTTTTTTCTTTTTTTCTCTCTCTCTTTTTACTCTTTGTAAACATATTAGACTAAAAAGACCGGTTGTTGGAGTTTCTGGGTGGAAATTTCTCATTTTTATTTTAGGATATGCCTTGGTCGACATTCCAGGGTCATCGTTTTGTTTCACAATAAGCAGGATGTTTTAAGCTGTTGACAGGTGGGGACCTCAGGCAAGCCAGTAGCGCAACGACCAAACTCTTGTACAACAAAGCAATGCTTTTGTAATAAATACGGTCTGCTGTTATGCAACGTGTTGAAAACATGTTGGGTTTCCTGAGAAAAATCTATTATTTTGATGGGAGAATATGTTAATGAAAACTGTATTAACTTTTCAAGATTTTTAGTTATCCAGATGTTTAAGCTGCCCATGCTTTTGGCATTAAAGCACCATCAGAAATGTTGGCTTTTAACTAAGCGCTGTTGAGTCTTCTGCAATGTCTTAGAATGGAGGGTATAGCAACTGTATTTGTTTTTTGTTTGTTTTTCTGTTTATTAATCTGAAAAAAGAACAGTTTTCCACCTTGCATATGTTCAACTTGATCTGCAACCCCCTGACTCCAGCTATATTACTTACACAATAATTTGCCCACATTTGGCATTTGAAAAAATATTAAACCTTTTTGAGAACTTAAAGGTCCCATATTAAGCAAAATTCACATTATAAACATTTTATAACAGCAACGTGTCCTGAAGCCTGTGTATGAAGTTCACAAATGAAAAAAATCCTAACACCTCTATCATTGCCCTTCTCCACCTCTTGGCTAATGAGTGTTAAAAAAAGGTCTGTTAGAAAGACATTCACCTTATGTCCCCATATATGTAGCAGCCAATCGGTCAGTCTGCAGTCTTGATTATATTATTCGATGCTCCTGTCTGGTTGTCATGGTAGCGGGTTTTCGGGATGCAGTCTTTGGGAGGACAGGTTTAGAAAGCCGAAACAGCCAATCCAAAGGAGGGCTGAATATGGAGAATTTTGGTAAAGGCCGTTTGCCTCATCTGAAAGGAATTTTCCTACAGAAATTGTAAAGACATGCCGTGGCGGCTTCATTGTGAGTAAGTTTTACTCTAAAATGTAACATAATATGGGACCTTTAAAGATGCCTGAAATATTTTAGTGAACTATAATTAACGTTACATAAGTTTACATAAGATTTTGTTGTCTATGTCCCAACTATTTGAAATTGGTTATTTAAAATCAAATTTTTCCTAAACGTTTTGCTAAACATTTTATATATTTTTACTAATTAATGAATTAATTAATTAACTCACTAACTTTGTCAATAAAAATCTAGCTTAATGAAAATCCATTCTGTTTGAATTAACATTTTACATTTCAGTTTTTGGAAGATGGGGCTGTGAATCAAAGATTTTCTTCTACTTTTAACAAAAAAAAGCTTAAATCACATAGAATAATATTGTTTTAACTGGATCTGTCCTTTGTTGATGTCCTTTTTATCATATTTAAACATCTGTTTTCCTCACACAGGCTTTATAACAGACGGAAATTCAAAGCTTGTGGGTAATGCTCGTCTCCGCCAGGTGAGAGTGCAGAAAAACTCATGCCACGTTGCCAGCACCATGCAGGAGTCTGTTCCAGACTGTCACACTTCTTACTCTTGGGATTCTGAGGACGTCGGCTCTTACGATCCTGGCTGGAGTCCTAATGTGGTAAAAAACACATCCCTGAACCCCCACAACCCGTGGATGTACAGATCTCAGAGCGAGCTGAGGGGTTTTCCCATCTGGGGCGGCATAATGCTCTACAGAGGAGGCGGCTTTGTCATGGATCTGGGCCCAGACTTACAAAAGTCAAGGAGGTAGAATCTGTAATTGTATAAAAAAAATATCACCTTTAAATGGAATGGGAGAACCCAATATTAACCTTGTCTCATCCATACCTCCCTAGAATCCTTCAGTACCTTTATGACAAAACTTGGTTAGATGTGTACACCCAAGCCATCTTCGCTGAGTTCACGGTGTACAATGCAAATGTGAACCTCTTCTGCATTGTTTCACTCATGCTGGAAACCACAGCCACTGGTTAGCCCTTCAGGTGCAGTAGATTGTATTTGAGAGCTCCCAGCAAGAACTAATATGTTGTTATTATTTTAATCCAGGCGCTTTCCAGTTCCGCAGCGAGCTTCACAGTGTCCGTCTTTACCAGTCCGCTGGGGGCCTCCACATCTTTGTCATGGCCTCTGAAATCATTTACTTTCTGTTCATTATTTACTACATGTTTGTTCAGGTGCATTGGTATTACACACGCTTTTTTATTTAAAAAAAAATTGAAGTTTCAACCAGGATTAATTACATGTGCTTATTCTGGTACCAACAGGGAAAATTAATTAGGAGCCAGAAATGGGATTATTTCAAGAGGAAGTGGAATCTGTTGGAGTTGGCAATCATTATCCTCAGCTGGAGTGCGCTGTCAGTTTTCATCAAGAGGACTATACTTGGAAAGAGGGATATAAGCTTTTATCAGAACAACAAACAGCAGTAAGAGATGGAAACATTCTTATTTCAAATCTGATCAATTAATCCCTAATGTATGCTCAAATGACCTGATTGGTTGATTATAAATAGGGTCCTTTGCAGTTCTCTTTCGAATATGCTATGTCTGCAAAGTACTACAGTTTGCTCTAACACCATGGTTCTCAAATCTCAAAAGTACCACCAGTGGAAGCTATAGTACCTGTACAACAACAGTTATATTGATTTGCTGTATTAAAAAACCTCAAACTGTAATGTGAAGCCATTAAGCATAAACAGACAAAAAAGCTGACATCCTCACAGTGATGCTTCACCAGAAACCTCCCAAAAGAAGCATGATCGTGTGCGTGTGTGTGGGGGGGGGGGGTTAAACTTCTGAACAAATGTAAATGAGGAACAAAGGTTAGTTACTGTAATCCATTTACATTGAAATCAGAATTTAGATCTGAGAATGAAACCAGTGGGATTTTTAAAAACTTTACGTTATATCTAGTACTGGCTATTCAAAATGCTAACATTGCATTTTTCTGTTGTTGTGCTACATTTTAGCTGACTTTTTTCTATATGGGGTTGTTAGGTACTGACGGTACTGACTCATCTACTGATGAGGAATTTAGAGAATAGAAAATCTGTGAATAAACAGTTACTAAAACCATGGGGATTTGCAACTGTTCCCTAAGACTGTGGTATATCTCTCTACTGTTAGCTATACTAACGGAACTGTCAAAAGCATTTACTCAACATACCAAATTATTACATTTCGATATGTCAGTTTTTAACATGGTCATCATAAGTGTATGAAATCCAGCATTTAAACATAGACCCCTTCATTTTTGGCATTAGGGTGTTGTCCAAGATGTGGGTCCCCTTAGTTTGTATGAAACTGCCTTTTATTGCTTAACCATACTTTAACAGTTTGTCTAGTTTCATGCTTCTCCCTTTGTGGGAACAGTTTGGGGATTGCTGGTCCTATTTTAACATTTGCACTAGTGCACAAAGTGAGATCTACTGTATCTATACATGGATGTGAGTCTGATTTAGAAGGACAGGCATGCACAGTGTGTTGGCCTCAACCCTCTGGATTACTGTTTGGATGAATCTGAGACGAGTCAGGCTTCAATAATGCACTTCTAGAAGAATGGTTGGAAATTCTCAAACTTTATGGAAAGTCTTCTTCTGAGGGTAAAAGTTGTTATAACTGAAAAGGGTGTTTAAAAATCCAATTAAAACCTATGCTTGCAGAATACTGTGGGAAAATACTAAAGTTCATTGTTGTTTTAGGGTGAATAATAAGTAGTGAAACAACATAACGCTTAGTGGCCTAATTAACTGCACGGTCTCTTGAATTAAACTGACAAACAATAACTGTAAATGTCTGTAAGTCACAGTACTCCAATTAAAATGTTAATAAAAAATGAATAGTTGCCTATAATCTCACATAGAATACATGTTAACATTATTTTATCTAGATAATGGGACAGAGCCTCTAAACTCCCATGATAAAAGCTATGTTTTCTAATTCTATAATCTCAATTTTTACCTTTTTTTTTCTCTATCATACTCTCTTTGACTTACCTGCATTGACAATGCAGCATGTTAGACTAGCATCCACATAGCTACCAAATACACAGTGTGCAGTGACGTCTAATGTTCAGGGTCAGTCCTCCTTATAACATGCAAGCAAGCCATGCTGAATTTTGAGGTTAAGCTGTTAAGAAATCTCCTACTTTCAAGCTTGTAATGTTAAATTTATATGGACCATCTGTTTTTTTATTTTATTTTACTTACTTAAAACTTCTACATTTGAACTTCTGAGTAATAAACTGAAATTAAATTGCATCTTTGCAACAATCATACAGCTGCAAGGGATACATCTTTTCAGTGGAATCTATTAAAAGGGAAAAGGTTTCATAGGTCTAATTATAACTGAACCGTATATGCTTTTATTTTGAGATACAATGCCTTAAACATTATACAACAAGATTGGATTACAAATTCTGTTAAACTGGAACAGAAAATTACAAAATTTTCCTTTTCACAAAAAAAACAAAAAACTCTATTGGTCTAACTTTAGCTAAGTTGACATTTCAAATGGTAAGTTGAGCCTTGTCTTCTTTATTTTGCATCCAGATTTGCCAGTTTCCATGAGACGGCTCAGGCAGACACAGTGCTTGGGTATCTGATTGCCTTTCTGGTTCTGCTGGCTACAGTCAAACTGTGGCACCTGCTGAGACTCAACCCCAAGCTGCACATGATCACGGCCACACTGCAGCGTGCTTGGACTGATATTTCAGGCTTCCTGGTGGTCATGACCATCATGTTCATGGCTTACTCGATTACTGTGAGGATTTTCCCACGCTTAGTGAAGTTTCTGCAGAACTCTGTTTGGTCAAAAAAGATTTAATTGAAGTTGCTGATTGAAAGACAATGCCTCTCTTAATTTCAGTCTAACGTGATGTACGGGTGGAAACTGTACTCCTATAGGACTCTGCTTGATGCTGCACAAACTATTATCAGCTTGCAGCTTGGCATCTTTAACTACGACGAGGTTAGTACAAAGTTATTGCAACAGCGGATAATGACTGGTGATCCTTGTTAATTGTATTTCTTCCAATCTGCCAGGTTCTAAACTACAATCCAGTCCTTGGGGCTTTCCTTATTGGATCCTGCATTGTATTCATGACCTTTGTTGTGCTGAATCTATTTATATCTGTTATTCTTGTGGCATTCAGTCAAGAACAGATCCATCACAAGGTAAATTATTTATATTCATGAAAAGTCTCTATTATTATAGTCTCCTATTATATGTTCTCTCTTCATACAGCCACCAGAAGAGGAGGAGATTGTTGACCTGATTGTGATCAAGTTCTGCAACCTGTTTGGACGTAAATGTCAGAAGCAAGTGGTTACCTAGCTGGTATTATTGTGAGGATAAAGGATGCCATGTTGTCTGAAGTGTAACATCATAACCTTACACAGATGCGATATTTTTAGTTACGGCTGCTGTAACCTGTCCTGCTGCCAATCGCCATTTCAGTGTTTTTCACTTCTTACAAATATATTTGTATGTGTTATCAGATATAGGTAATGTTTTTTGCCATGAAATTCTAATAGTCTTAGAATAATCTGTTTCTTATGACTTTTACTCAAACTGAAAGAGACTGCTTGTACATGTTAAATAATGAGCTATGGAAGCATCATCCTCTGTTTAGTCATTTGTGCTTTGAACACCAACTTAGCAATTTAAGGTGATGACAAAAACAACCATAGGTAATAGAAATGTTTTATTTATTTTTCGCATGAGCATATAAAGGTTGGAAGAAAATATCCTCCATCTTTACTTTAGGTTCTGCTTTTTTTTACTTTTATTCAATGAAATATTTCACTCCATGTATACAGTCAAAATACAGAGTAGTATGCCATTTGATCTGGAGCCTATAAGCCATCTAAGTTGCAAGACACTAATGGACTACATACTAACATACAATAAAAGATTTGTCTTCTAGTAGTAAAATTAAATTATGTGTTATTGGCAAGTTTGATTAGAGATTCATGTTTTTGAAATATTTTCCTTTTTTTTAAAGGAAAAAATAAATTTTAAGGCTGCCCCGTTTCATTTAAATGGGGGGAGAAATTAATCACACTTCAATTCACAACCTCTATTAATAAGCTTCCAGTATTGAGGAAGATGTTGGGAAGATCACCCATCTTGGATTTTCATACGGCCAAAGAAAAGGTATTTTCTTTTTGGGATTATAAAAAATTAAACTGAATTGAATTTTAATTGAATATATTATTATATTCGGAGTGCAACAAATGAGTAGTTTTAGGTCAGCAAGTCAACACAAAAAACAGACTTCATTATTTTACTCAGAACATGTGTGTTCTAAGAATTTTACTCAGAATTAGTATTTTGCAACCAGTGTAATCAAGGCCATATATTCTTATAGGAAGGAAACGTTCCTGGTGCTGCATGAAGAGAAATATACATTCCAGGACAGTTTTTTTTTTTTTTTTTGTGCCATTTATACATCATTATAGATTGGGGGGAAAAAAACAACCAAAAATGTATTTTTATCATTTAACCAGTGTACTGTAAAACTGGCTTTTTTTTTAACCTACTTAGGAAGATATCTGAGCAGTTAAGGATCTTGTTCAATCAGACAACTCTCACAAGAACCAGAGATGTATTAAGTAGGTTACTGTACAAGACCAAGTTTTTTCAGCAGCTCACATAGTTATGCTGTAAGCAAAATTTAAATGCACTCAATCATGCTTCTAAATACTTTTAATCAACCTAACATAGTTCTTATTTAAATGATGACCTTTGATCAGCCCCCTTGTCAAATCAGTTTAAAGAGGACAAGTCTTTCTGGATGTACTCCAGTAATTAGCCTTACAATGAAATCAATTACAACTAGGTCAGTCAGTAGATGTGATTTACCTAAACAATCACATTCAATGGGTTTTAATTGTTTTTAAGTTCTAAGTCATTTTTTATTGAGTATAACATGCACTTTTTAAAGCTAATCATTTTATTGTAAGCAACTTACAATTTTAAGAATCTTTTCTATTTTTAAGCTGTATGGAAAAGATGTACACTTACAAGTAGTGTAGGACATTGGAAGTATGGCAAGCAATCTTACCATTTCATGACCAAAAAAGTGTGTAACACCCCTTTCCCACTGGCTGAAAATCCTGTTTAAACCCAGCAACAGTCTGCTTTTAGTGGCAGCGGGAACAGCTCACTGACGCATGACTAACCTGGTCAAACTACTCAGCAAGTGACCTGAGATTAAATTGCCTTGGCTCTTATTTACATGCTGTGGGAACACCAGAATCGTGTTTACAAGCTAAATTATGTGATACCATGAATTGCAATGTATGAACGTCAACACGCCACGCCAGTCACTTCTGATCTAACAAGCCGCAACAACTCTGTTTTCATTTGATAAACATGGTACAGCACTGGTAAGAGGGATTCCAACAGATAATAGAGCTAAACATTAAGGCACACTAACTACCCCCTGTCTTCCTCACATGTTTCTCTCCATTGTTTACTTTCCTGAAATTTTCACACTGGTGACATCAACACAAATCCAGGGTGATGGTATCACCAGACATGCAGCGGTGGGGGGACAGAGGCCAGACAGTTCGCTAGCTAGGAATTAGACGCAGCTTTTTTCCAATGGGAAGGTAGCCAAATGCCTGGTCGACCTATGTTTGAAAAACATGCTTTAACCTGCTATTTTCAGAGATAAACTGCAACATTTCATTACCAATAAAAGATGAGGCTGAACATCTTATACCCAAAATAATTTCAAATTGTGGAAGTATTATATGACTGCTCCAAAAATTGTGATATTTGAAATATAAAAAAAAAAGCAGGACATCAGTTACAGGAATTATGATCAGGAACATTTTAATAACAATCAGCTACAAAGATACTTTGGTATCTATTAAAATGATTGGGACGCTTTTTTGACATGAAACATATTCAGTGAAAAATACAGCTGATATTAGTTATATTTCCATTTCTATGAGGCCTCTAGGAAGAAAATATCTTCAATCTTGATGTGGTTAAAACAATTTGTGAAAAAATTATATATATATATATATATATATATATATATATATAGAGAGAGAGAGAGAGAGAGGGAGAGAGAAAGAGTTTTCTTTTCTATGCAAAATGGAATAAAATGTTATGATGTGGCCATACTGCTTGCCATAAAGACAAAAGTAACGTGTCATAAAAAGGAAATAGGTGGCACCACTGACAAAGAGGAGACAGGAACTAACAATAGCATGTCTTGTGATAAACTTTTCAAAAGACACAGACTTTCATTAGGCAAAAATGGACTGAAACATCGGTTGTGATCCAATGCATTTCCTTCTGTGTTTATACCATCTATTAGCTCTTTTTCTTATGGATATTTAACACCCAACTGAAATGAATATTTTGTCATGTTCTAATATAAATATAGGATTTAATGCGGATCTGTTGTGCTTTGAGATTAATAATATTGAGCATTGTGATCAGCTTTAAAATACCCACATTTTCCAGTAGTGTAGATAATCAATAGATGATCTTCAAAAAAAATATGCCTTTCAGAATGGTCCTAATCAGAGGTGTAGCCAAAAAAATGTTAGAAGGGTGGCCAGGCAATAACCAATGTACACTGAGGGGTGGCCGAAAGTGCATAGGTGCCAGAGCCTCAGGGTCAAACCAAAGATAAGACTAACTATACTTTCCTACATTTATATTTTATCTCTTTTTATTCTTATTTTTTTTATCTTTATTATATTTGATAGCTGGATGTGTGTATATATTATATAAAACTGTAACTGGAGCGTGTAACAAAAGTAATGTCCTTCTGGGATTATTAAAGTATTTCTGATCCTTTGCTAACAAATACACGCATATATTTAAACATCTGTGCTTTCTAGATAAAAGTTATGGTGGATAAAATACTTTCAGGCTTGAGTTCTGGGCCAAACATCTTTTCCTTTGTCATTACTTACCTGCTTTTATCAATAATCATTCTGCATAAAATTGATATTTACAAGTACTAATGTCAACATAAATCGATTATTTAATACATTTGTATTAATATAATTATGATTTCACTGAATACTCCTAGATGATTTGCAGAGACACATGATTTTTTCTTTACCTCATATAACACAAAATCTAGTTCTGAAAAGAGCATGAATTATCATCTTTAATGTTAGTATATTGATGTGTATCATTAACCACAGTGTTTTTGTTGTCAAGAAATTATGAATACATTAAAAATGTGTAAGTAATATATGAAAAATTAAAATATTCCACTTGAGAATATTACTGCTGCCACCATCTGTATTAGAGGGCGAAAAAATGGTGAGGATGGCAAATGATTGGCTAAGGGGGGCCATGGCCACCCCTGGCCCCACATCTAGCTCCGCCCCGGGTCCTAATCCTTTTTTTTTTCAGTAAAAACTTTTGCATTAAAGGAATAGTACACCCAAAACATGATTAGCCTTCATTTTCTACTCACCCCCATGCTGAACAACACCCTGGAGTACTTTTTTGATATCTCAAATGCATCTGGAGATCTGGGAGGCTTCTTGCTGTCTGCTGACATTCAAATAATGGAGGTCTATGGTGTCCGAGACAGAAAGGTCCATAAAAGTCCACAAAAAACGTGTCAATATTCCTCCACACTGCTCGTCCAATGTATTCCAAGTGTCCTGAGGGGGTAGCATCCAGAATTTACTCGAAACGAAGTCATTTAGAATGTTTTTAGAGCATAAACAGTAGTGCATAGGATTTCCTGAAAGCGCGCACATGCGCGTTCACGAGCCTACGGAAGCCGGCAGACCAAACCAGATGAAAGTGCGCATTCAGCGTCTGCTCTGCCAATAATGCAAGCGTAGAAGAAGAAATGTGCTGTTTACCTGTGCAAAGAAAGAAACAACGAAAGAAAAATGTCTGAGGACTTCAGTGTTGAGGAAGAGCATGAGTTCTTTGCCGAGCTGAATGCGCTGGTTTGGTCTGCCGGCTTCCGTAGGCTCGTGAACGCGCATGTGCGCGCTTTCAGGAAATCCTATGCACTACTGTTTATGCTCTAAAAACATTCTAAATGACTTCGTTTCGAGTAAATTCTGGATGCTACCCACTCAGGACACTTGGAATACATTGGACGAGCAGTATGGAGGAATATTGACACGTTTTTTGTGGATTTTTATGGACCTTTCTGTCTCGGGCACCGTAGACCTCCATTATTTGAATGTCAGCAGACAGCAAGAAGCCTCCCAGATCTCCAGATGCATTTGAGATATCAAAAAAGTACTCCAGGGTGTTGTTCAGCATGGGGGTGAGTAGAAAATGAAGGCTAATCATGTTTTGGGTGTACTATTCCTTTAAAGGAGTTCTACCTTGGCTTGAAGAAAGTTGTGAGAAAAAAAAATCAGAATCAGAAAACAAAAGTAATTTATTTTACAAGTTGAATTAGTTTCTAAAGAATATCAACGTTCTAATATCACAAAAATAAATAAATAAATAAATAAATAAATAAATAAATAAATAAATAAATAAATAAATAAAAATGAAGAGTTGTCCGAAGATTCTATATAGTTGGAAGTTCATTCCTTGTTATGAATAATCCGTACGTCACTCCTACGTGTTGCGTCACATGCGTGGGCGTGGTTCCCCTCCGGTAGTCGGTTGACAACAAACATGAGTCGTGGGCGGACCGAAGAGGGACTCACAGGCCGAGGAGCAATGCAGATAGTTAGCCTACAGTAACGACAGAAAAAAAACTCCATCTGAAACTGTTGCTCGTTCCTAAAAACTTCTGTAATTCCTGGTGGTAACACGGGGAACAGGGCTGCTGACGCTGTAAGTGACCGAAAGTGAGCGGCGGTTTCCAGCCAGAGGGATTGCGATGCCCTCTGACTTTATCTCCCTCTTCAACGGGGACCTCGACCTCAATTCTCCCAGATCCCTGTACTCTAAAGGTAAACAACGTTCCTTTACTTTATTTGTTCTGATAGAAACGTTTGACTCCTTTTTGTTTCACTTATTTGTTTTATATATATAGCACATTTACCTGTGTTCGGTCTCAAAACGTGTCTAAGTGCGGCGTTACTTCAGTGCCATTCATCTATAAACCACCTCCTGTCACATGCCTGCGCATGAGCTGAGGTAAAGTTTTAACTCTCCTAAACAACCTTCACTGATACTCGTTTGGTTCCTTGGGTCCCATGGTCATGTTTTCGGCGGGCTGAAGCCCTCAGCTGCTGGGAGTACACCGGTCAGACCAGTTTATTATCTCCCTTCCAGCCTAAAAACACCGCTATCTGTTTTCTCTGGGCTGTTTGAATAGTCCGTCCATGTCCTCCGCCCCCGTCAGGCTTTGAACGCATGCACACATATGAATGCACTGCAGCGGCGCTAGTGGGACCATTAACATAAACTGTGTAATCATCAGCAAGGGAGCCTCGGGCAACCTGCAGATAGAAAAACTGAACTCTGTTGAACTTCTAACACCAGGTGCAATGCTGCAAAAAATGCATTTCTTCTACTTTGCCCCTTCCCGTAGGAACTAATGGCACAAGTGCAGTAAAACAATTTATTTAACACTGAAATAAGACTTTTCCAGCTGCTTTAAAATAATAAAAAAAAATCTGAAAACCTTGAGAATAAACATAAACCTCTAGGGTTTTTATTAAGTTTATTATACATGATGAATGGGGTTGATAATCATACTTTGTACTGAAAAAAGCAAAAAAAAGAAGAAAACAAAAACAGCAGTTTCTGTTGCTTTTGTCACCAGCTGGGCGTGGTGGCAGGGGATACCTTGGAGGCTGCAAAAACTACCAAAAGCATTGTTTCTCTTTTATACCTTAACAATGAACATTTAGAACTCATTGTTGAAAAGTCTTTTATTTTTCTCACCACTCTCACCCTTGGTATGTTGTTTATGTTATTTAATAATTTTTTATTTTTTTTTATTTTTGTATAATCTAACTCATTAGTAAAGAAAGAAACATAAAGGCTATTTGAGAAGTGCAACACTTTGTGCAATTGCTTTGCAAAATAAAAAAAAAAAAAGAATGAGGACAACACTTTTCATTTGCAAAAACACATGGAGCGGGGAAAAAAGTTTGTTTTTTTTGGTTCATAGGTGAGGAAAGACAAAGTTACCTCATCGCAGCTTAGCTTTACATATTAGTTAGGTCATAGGTTTGAATAATTTTTTTTTTGTAACCACTAATGCAAGTTGTTTCACAGGGATAACACTATAGGAAGGTGTGCAGACCACCAATGCACATCAGAATCAATTTTATGTATAATATATGTGTGTTTGTTTGCAAATTTGTGCAAAAACCTATAAAAAGCTTGAATTTTTCAGCTAATGAGGTAGCACAAAAACAAAAAAACTCAGGTTGGCCATTTTTACTAGACTGTCTCCAAGGTTCAGTTGCATGATGTTTATGCTAATCCATTCCTTCATCAGCTGCATGATCATTGCAGCGTGACTGCAATGTAAGGAGCTGTATACACTAGTTAGTGGGCGCCTGAAGCAGTGTGAAGCATTGGCAGGTGCTACAGAGAGATAGAAAAAACATGCAAACACACTCCCAAGGACAGTAAGAATAAACATCCATGTTTTAGGAAGGTGGGAGGAAATCTGACTGGCTAGAAAGAAGCTTTCAGTATTGGGGTTTCATTACTTCTTCTTTGTACTCGACAAGCCTCGTTACAGCCACTCTGCATATCTACTTCTTAGTGCAAATTTCTTTAAATTCTGATAATCGTCCTAAAGGAAATGTTTTGTGTGCAATAACTTGCGCATAAAGTCTGTCCAGATTGTGAAAATGATCACAAGTGTAATGCTGATAAAGAACGGAGGTTGCTATTCAAATCAGCCTTTGATTCAGTTATCTCAATGACACATTTCTAAATGGTATCAGGACTATTTAGAAGATGTAGATATATTAGTGGAGAGTTGATATAGAAAGAGATGCATAGGTTTAACTAAAGGTGGGCATACACTGTATGATTTTACCCTTTACGGGCCAATTTTGGTCATCTGAAAAAAAAATTTGGATCAAGTTTTAGCCTCATCGTGTGTCCTGCGTCGTGTAGTATACAGGGGGTAACGAGGGGTGGTCACCCTCTCCCAAGCACCTCCTGATCAGGAATCCTAAGGATCGGGAGAAAATCAGAAATTCAGTCGGCCCTCTGTGTTTGTAGGTAAATCCTGCTGTTGAAGCAGAGCTACCAGCCGATTTACAAAAACCTTAACGGTGTGCATGTGCAAACAACGGTGTTGTTGTTCTTCTTCTTCTTCTTCTGGATTGACAACCCCGACCAGGGCCATGCTTAGTCCAATGTGTGGTTTTTGGACGTACAGTGTGAGCAGTTGGATCGCATCAGACCGTCTGGCTGTACAGCGTGAGAATCTACATCGTGAGCAGTAAACTTTTAAACCCTTTGGTTTCGTAGTACAATTTGAGCTGTAGCTAAGTACAATGACTGGAAATATCGTACAGTGTATGCCCGGCTTAAATGTGCAAAAATTACCTACCTGTGTTTTGGTTTACTACCTTCTAAGGTCTTTTGAACAAATTGATTGATGATATTTATAGCTTTGGCTTAGTATTAAAACCGCAGTACATCCAATGACTCAGAAATAGTGCAATATTACACTATTGTAAAGATTTCAATGTGCAAAACTGATCCCTCTTACCAGAGAGAGCTAAATATTCTAACTGAACTTGATATAATTGCAAGTAATTTAAAATAAAGAGGCCATTTTTTCTTTTTGCAATTTCAACAATGTCCAACTCTTAATATTAAGATTTAAGGAGTTCTAATTACTTATCTCTTCTCTTCTTTCTATCTTATCTCTTCTTTTGTAAAACAAATTTCTTGTAATCTTTTTGATCAACACTTTTACTGTCAGTATTAATAAGATGTGCCCAAACATAAACTATAAATGCCCAGAAATTCAAGTAGGTTTGTTCAAATGTCTTCCTTATGAATATGATTTTTAGAATCTAGCTTTTTTTATTTCATTTTTTTTTTTTTAAGAAAGTAACATCTTTACAGGGAGCTGATTTTTCACCCAAGTGCAGTCCAGGGAATTCTAGGGAAAAGCAGAAGCCTTTAACAATAGCTCTCTGGACAGGAAGGCATTTTGTGCTATTTTGTAGTCCGTGAGGGACCGCTGGTTAATAATTGGAATAAAATGCCTTCCCAGCAGTTTCACAGTAAACATGAAAAATGTTAGAACTTCAGTAAATATTCTGGTAAGCCTGTTTAACTATTGTAAGCTCTCAGATCTTGCCATGGTATTTTTTTATATTGACACCAACCTTAACTTGGTTAATAATTAACTCTTGAGCTCCTCTGTGTATAAACCGAGGTTTAAATAGCACTCTATTAATATTGACTCTCCTTTGTCAAGTAAACCTGGCGGCATGCGCTTAAAAATACTTGGCTGCCTTGCAAGCTGGTGGCTATCTAGCCAAAAGGGCCACAATGAGAAAGAAAGGATGGAAAATGTGATCTTTATCTGCATTGGATTGATTTATGTCTCATCATAAACTGTCCTGTTATTATTGTTAAGCTTGTCTCATCAGTACGCTGTGAAATTGGAACATCACGTCACAATAATCTTGAGAACTTGTAGTGCCTGTTGATGTTATTATCATTGGGGAGATCCAATGTTTCGTTGTTATTCAGAACATAGTTTCCTGTGATGTTTTCTTCACCTGTTAAAACATCAATCCAAACTGGTTCTACATATTTCTGACTGGGACTTTTGCAGATTGTTATATTAATTTGTTAGATGGTCCATCTTGTTTTGAAGACTAAATTAATGTTTGGATTTTTTTTTTAAATGCAAATCCCTTTATTGTCCCACAATGGGGAATTTCATTGTCTGCATTTTGACCCACCCCCTTGGGGAGCTGTGGGCTTCCATTGTGCGGTGACAGGGGAGCAGTTAAGGATCTTGCTCAGAACCCAGAGTGCAGGCTGTGAGGATCGAACTGGACACTTGCAACGTTCTCAGAGCAAAAGCGCACTGTTCTAACCACTATAGGCAAACACACCCCTATGTGAATTAATCACCATAAAATGAGGAGTGGAATTTCAGAAGCTAGTAAGTCATTGAGAATTTCCTCCATAACCAACAGGCAGTGGTTTTTAGAGGAGAAAATGTCTGCAGAAGGATGTCGGAGCAGAATTAGACAGATTCAAGATTGTGGAAAGCTAACAGCAGCTCAAATGACAAATCAGCATACCATCCTTTAATGCATGACACACCCAACCTTTAGCTTTGGCTTTTCAACTCTCATACTCCAATCGGTTTGAAATCAGTATTGTTTACAAGGATCTGTTCTGGTCCGAATGTCTTGTTTGCTTGGCTGCCAAAAACTGTCTTAACTTTAGTCTGTATTGTTTCCCCAGCCTTAATGGTCAATACTTGTTCAGTTATCATGGCAGTCATTTCTTACAGTTTTATCTTGACTTGTAAAAGACATCCATGAACAGGGTAGAATCAACCTAAATTCCACTGATAGCAGGTGAATCTATATATCTATATATATATATATATATATATATATATAATTTTTTTTTTTTGGGGGGGGTTGTAATTTCTACCCCTTTCTTGCTTTCAAGAGGGATCGCCACCATGCATCTATTTTTTTTTAAGATATATGTGACGCTTGGAATTCGCACCTCTTAAAGCTGTGTTCGTGTTTACACCCTTATCTGCTCAATCTCTCAGATTAATCATTAACGCTGGCCAAACTTCAGTAAGAAGTCTAATCGGGGTCAGGTCAAAATATCGCCTCCTTTGGTATTTACTGCACACTTGTAACTTTGTTTGGGCCGCTGCAAATCAATGTCTGAGTGGTTTAACCTGTTAAAGAGCCCCGAGGTGATACTTGGCTGTCCATCTTGTGTGAAACTGCTGTTGCGGTATTGAGCAGCTGCCTGT